AGGCCGCCGAGGGAGTGGCCTATGACGAGGTCGAAGCGGGCAGAGGCGAAGAGGGGCCGGAGTGCGTCGGCGAGAGCGGAGAGGGAGTAGTCGGAGGAGCGGCCGGCACCGCCGTGTCCGAGAAGACCTCCGGCGGTGACCCCGCCGCATGGTAGGACGCCCTCCAGGACGGCGGCCGCACCGAGGCGGGACAGACCTTGTTCTGCGAGCGAGATTGCGACGCTGTGCCAGGTCTGTGAGGCTGAGGAGAGGCCGTGTATGAGGAGGGCGTGCTTGTGTGCGGAGGGCTCACCCCAGGAGGAGAGAGACATGATGGCGGTGAAGGTGGCGTGTTTTCCCAATTTGGATGTGGCTGAGCGAGCGCCCAGCCTCGCATCAGCACTGAAAAATACGACTACCGCCTCATCCCTCCTTGCTTTCTCTCCATCCCAGCGACAGCGACGACGACGACGCACACGCAGCGACGACGACGAGCAAAGCACGACGCACCGGCTTAGAGCGAGGGATGGAAGCGCAGACGAATAGCGACGAGTTGCCACTTCTGCGGTCGACCATATTAGGCTCGTTTCTGCGTGGACGACCTCGGGGGACATCGACGTCTGCTCCTGCTCGAGACCCGTCCCCGTCCCCGTCCCCGCCAGCGCCCCTCTCCCCCACTCCCCCCTCCCCCGCTCCCAACACACGCAGACGTTCCTTCGCTCCCGGTGCCATCACCATCCCATCTGCTTTCGTCTCACACAGCCCCCACTCCGGCCCTCCTCCTCCATCCGGCACCTCTCTCACCATTTCCCACATCCTCAGACGCAGACGCTCAGCAGGTGCACTCCCTCAAACAACCGCCTCTCCTCCTCCTCTCACCACAAACTCGATGACCCTCCCCGTCCCCACCCTCGCTCGCGGCCCCTCCTCCGCATCCTCCTCCTCCCCACCAGCCTCCCTCCGCATCCGCCTCGTCCCCCACCTCGACTCTCGCCGCACTCTCCGCTTCGACGCCATCTCCCGCGATCTCAAACACGGCGACCCTCCCCTCCGCATCGGTCGCTTCACTGACCGCTCAGGCATCGGCCTCGCAGCCGCAAACGCCCTCAGCTCAAACAAGCTCGCCTTCAAATCAAAAGTCGTCTCCCGCTCCCACGCTGAGATCTGGGTCGACTCCGCAAAGTTTTACATCAAAGACACAAAGTCCTCCTCGGGCACCTTCCTCAACCACCTCAGGCTCTCCCCCGCAGGCACAGAGTCAAAGCCACACCAGCTCAAGGATGGCGATATCCTCCAGCTCGGCGTCGATTACCAGGGCGGCACAGAGGACATCTACAAGTCCGTCAAAATTCGCATAGAGGTAGGCAGGGAGTGGCAGGCCGCTGCTAATGCCTTCAAGTACGTCCCCTTCTTTCCCTTATCCCTCCCCCATCTCATCTCCATCCAACAGCACAAACGCCATATCCCAGCTCAAATCCCTAGCAGCAGGCCTCGCTTCCGGCCATGTCCCTTCAGGAAAGAAACGCGCCCCAAAGACGAACATCCCAGATTGCTGTATATGTGAGTCTCCGCCTTCTCTCCTCTCTCCCTCTCTCACCGTCAACGTCTCAGGTCTCTTCTCAGTCACCATCCGTCAAGCCCTCTTCATCGCCCCCTGCTCTCACGCCTTTCACTACAAATGCATCCGCCCCCTCCTCGACGCCCACGAATCCGCCTTTTCCTGCCCCCTCTGCCGCACCTACGCCAACCTAGAAGAGGACGTCGAGGTCGAGGCCGATCTCGACGATCAGGACCAAGATGACGACGACGAGGACGAGAGCGAGGAGCAGCTGAGGAGTTCGGCGTTGGCCAGCGTCGCGATGCAGTCGCAGTCGCCATCGCAGCCATCGCAGATGCATCAACCACCGGCACTGCCCACCTCCTCGCGCACCGCAAAACACCTAGCCGTGCCGCCCACCACGAGCAGCAGTGCCCGAGATCGCGATCGCGAGGCGGGCGCAGAGACCGAGGTCGAGACGGACGCCGTCACCAGTGGGGTGGGCCGAACCGCCTCGCGTCGCCCACGCGCCATCGCCCTCCGCACAGACCAGACCCTCATGGGCCCCGTCGTCGACATCTCAGAGCCGGGAGATTTCGACGAGGAGATGTTGGACGATGACCGCCTTTTGTACGCCCACGCTGGCGCTGACGCCGATGTTGACGTTGATGGCGATAACGATAACGAGGTGGAGAACGACGGGAGCCTCTCGCCGGCGTACGTCACCCGCGGCGCCGGCTTTGGGCTGCCTACCGCGCCTGATATGTCGGAGGGAGAGGGGAGTGGAGGGGGGAGTCATGAGGAGGGGATGGATGTGGAGGGGAGGGAGGGGGAGGGAGTTGTTAATGGGAAGAGGAAGCGGTGAAGGGGGTGTGGGATTTCCCCGTGGTTTTGGTTGTGGAAGAAGGGGAGGGGGCGGCATCTCGATGGTGTCGAGCAACTCGTCTTTGGCGTTTTGTCTCATTGCCTCGCTCTACGCACACTTCTTTCACTTTCACGACACCGATATCACGACCCCCGATGCGAACGTCCGATCAGTGTCTTCCTCCCTCTCCCTATCTGTTGGCGCCTACAATGCTCTTCCTGGTTAAACGTCCCTCATCCGTCTCTCCCTCATCCGTCTCTTCCCATCTCCACTTCCCATCTTGCCCAATTCCCCCATCTTTCCACTCGTCTCGGTCCCTCTCATCACGCTCAAGTCCCGTCTGTTTCACCGTTCGCTATTCACTGGATATACGTATATCCCTTTTAATACGCACCCAATGGCACCTTTCCCTCTCTTCTTCCCTTGCCTCCTCTTTGTTTACTCTCTCCAACGCAAGCTTTTTCTTTTGAAAGATACGGTGTGGCTGCACGAACGAGTCTTTTTAGCGTCCCCCGTCACGCTCATCCCTTTGTGTTTGTTACATATGGAGTTTACAGAACCTGTTTCGGTGTGATGTGGTTGATAGCGGTGGTAGCGGTGGTGGATGGTTGTGATCATATGTACTCTCCCCCTTTCTCTTCTCTCTTTCTTTCTGTTCCTTTACTCTGTTCCTTTACTCTGTTTCTTGTCTGTGCCTAAAGTACTATAGCTAGTGGGTCGTCGTCGTACGCTTACGTCTTGCGTCTTACGTCTGTTCCTCTATTTTTTAACGAGTTTTGATTTTCTCATGTGCATTTAAGGAAAAAACACAGGAAAAAAAGCAAAAGCAAAACCTCTTTGATTATCTCGAGTCTTTTTCATCTGTTTCGAGGCTTTTCAAGTTGGGATGTGAACATGTTGGTGTCACGCTATTGAACACTTTCTTTTTTCCTTTTATTTTTCTTTCTTTGATTTCTGGGCACTTGGGTACTTGGGCACTTGGGTACGGTATGAGACACGGGACACGGGAGCAGAGCGGTGAAAAGCGGTTCTCTTCCTCTTTTTTTTTTTCGTTGGACGTCAGCTATCGGATACCGATCTCACTCGTACGATGGGGGGGGAGCTTCGAGTGTCGCGTCGCGTCACCCACCTCCCCCCCACCCCCAAAGTCGAAACGTGGACGTGTTGCCAACTTGCGGGGAATGAAGAATCGACGATGCGTCTGGAGTGAGTTTTTTTTTTTTTAGGTCCGTTATGCATTGAGGAGAAGGCTGGCATCAAGTACTGGTGATGACGACGTGCGGGGTGAAGAATCAGACCAATTTTTTTTTTTTTAAAAAAGTCAAAGTGAAATAGTCAATAGTATGAATTAACGGAGTCGCATTAATATGGTCCTTCCATAAATAATGGATATATCCGTCTCATCTATACACACGAGTACGTGATGAATTAGCCCCTCAACTGCGAATGATCATGTACCAAGCCAGACTGTCAGACACTACGCACCCGGGCCTCTCCGCGACACGCGGCCCACAACCCAGACCAAGATAAACAATAAGCAGCAGCATGAAACGGCAAAGAAAAAGAAAAACTGCGAGAACGACGCGACAGCCGCGATCGGCGAGAGAAGGGCGAATAGCAGAGGACATCTCAGCCAGAACGATCTAGACATCATCGTGATACAGAAAGTCAGCCATTTCAGTCGCGCAAAGACAGGTACTAGGCCGCTTGCCTCGACTGCCAACATTCGTACAGCACTGCGGTGGTCCATGGCGGATGGGGTGGCTTGACGTCCGGGGTGGTGTGATGAGTTTCTGATTTTTTATCGAGGAGCGAGATGTCGTGTGGCGGGCTGACGTCGTCCCGTTCCGCACCTTCTGCCAGAGCCGCTCCTTTCTCCTGGCTGGCGTCCATGAGACGTTGTTCAGGCAATCTCACCATGCCTATATCTTCCCTAGAGCGTGCAAGCATCAAAGGCGTCGATCCACCGTCGTCCTCCAAATCCAGGCGAATACCGTCTTCAGCAAGGAGAAGCGCCACCATCGCCTCCCGCGTCGTACAGCCCTCTCTCCATTTCTGTTCATCACCGTCCTGTGGCGCGATGGCGCAATGAAGGGGCGTTTGACCCAGACCGTTCTTCAAGTTGAGCGCCACGCCGTCCCAGGCCACAAGTAAGGCGGCCACCTCCGGTTGCCCGGCGGAGCGTACTGCACGGTGCAGCGGCGAGTCTCCGTTATCATCTTGCAAGTATGCGTCGATGTCTTGTCTGGAGAGTAGCTGGCGTACGAGAGATTGGCTTCCGTGAGTGGCTGCTATTGAAAGAAGGGTTTCCCCGTGCTGATTTTTCCAGTTCACGTCAACATCACCCCTTGCAAGCAGTAACCTCAATATTGCCTCCTTCCCTAATTCTGAGCCGGAGTCTTTGTCGATCCCGAGGTCACTAGTGCGATAGCTGTTATCAAATTGAATCATTATTAACAGAACGTTATCGACACTCACCTCTTCCCGCTAGCATTGTCATCATGATCCACACTGGGACCATGATAAATGAAAGAACCAATACCCAGTCCCTCGTTTTTCCCAAAAGCACGATATGCTGCAGTCCACAGTGGCGGTATACTCAGGCCATTCTCCGTTAGGATCGTGTTCACGTCGACACCATCGTAAGCCAACAAAAGTTCCACCGTCTTTTCATCACAATTCCAGGTCGCTAGCCATAGGGGTGTAAAACCACTCTGATCTTTCCAGTTGATGTTGAAGTTTCTTGATGTCCTTATGACAAGCAACCGGGCCAATTCTTTGCGGTAAGGAGCGCGGAAGGAGAAAGCCAGTGGCATGCATGTCTCGGAGAGTGGCAGCTGCGCTTCCCCGGGACTGGCGGTAGGTGTGTAACCACAGTCCTTGCGCAAGTTAACATCAACCTCCTGCCTTGCTAACAGAAGCTCAACGACTTCGGCTTTTCCTTGGTGCACTGCACGTGAAAGTGGTGTCCAACCTTCTTGGTCCTGCGAGTCGATATCCACGCCATCATTGGCCAGCAGTAGCCTAACAACTTCCACCCACCCCTCCTGAGCGGCATACCAGAATGGCGTCCGACCGTGATTGTCCTTCGAGTTCAAATCAATTTCATCCCTTGCCAACAGCAGCTGTACAATCTCTACATGCCCCCCCTTCGCTGCTTGCGTGAGCGGCGTCCAAAACTCACTATCCTGAGAGTTCACATCAACTTCATCTCTCGCCAACAGCAGCTTCACAATCTCCAAGTTGCCCTTGTAAATTGCTGTAAAGATTGGCGGACAACGATTATCATCTTCAGAGGCCACATCCACGTTGCTCCTTTCCAACAGCAGTTTGACAATATCCACATGTCCCTGTAAAGCTGCCATCGAGAGCGGCGTGTAACCGTCGTTGTTCTTTGCGTTCACGTCGGCATCATCCCGCGTCAACAGCAGTTTGACAATTTCTACATGCCCCTCCATAGCTCCTAGCAAGAGCGGCGTGCAACCATCATTGTTCTCTGCGTTCACGTCAGCATCGTCCCGCGTCAACAGCAGTTTGATGATCTCTACATGCCCCCACATAGTTGCCAGCAACAGCGGTGTCAAACCCATCTTGTCCTGTGAGTTCACATCAACTTCATCCCTCGCCAATAGCAGTTTGACTATCTCCACATGCCCCTTCATAGCTGCTAGCAAGAGCGGTGTCGAACCCATAGTGTTCTTTGATTCCACATTCATTTTGTTCATCTCCAACAGCAGCTTGGCAATATCCACATGCCCCTGATAAGCTGCCATCGAGAGCGCCGTCGAACCATAACTGTTCTTTGATTCCACATTGACTTCGTTCCTTGCCAACAGCAGCTTGACGACCTCCATACGCCCATTGTTAGCTGCTATCAAGAACGGTGTCAAGTCAATGTTGCTCTTTGAGTCTACATCCACGCCATCAACGGCCAACAGTAGCTTAACGACCTCTACATGTCCTTGGTGAACCGCCATCGAGAGCGGCGTCACACCTTCATTGTTTTTTGCGTCCACATCCACGTCGTTCCTTGCTAACAATAGTTTGATAACCTCCACATGTCCTCGGGCAGCCGCCACTGAGAGCGGGGTCACACCTTCGTTGTTCTTTGCGTCCACATCCACGTCGTTCTTTGCTAATAACAACTTGACAATCTCCACATGCCCCTGGTAGGCTGCTAGCGAGAGTGGCGTCCAACCATGCACATTCTTCGGGTTGGTACATACGTCACACATTGCAAGTAGCACTCGAACAACCTCTGTTCTCCCATTCATCGCTGAGGTACCAAGCGGTGTGTCATCTTGAGCATCATTTCCCCTTGAATTGACATCGTGGCCTCGATCAAGCAAGAGCTTCACCACTGTGGCATACCCTTTCCCTGCTGCAATGTATAGTAGTGTTCTACCCTTGTTGTCTCTCCTATCAACAGCAACGTCGTTCCCCAACAAGTAGTCAATAGTTTGATAAAAACCGAAGTAGGCACACAAATGCAATGCTGAACCCCCGTCAAAATAACGGGAATCCGGACCACCTATGGGTTTCAGGGCATTCTGAACATTCGCATCGCAATTTAAAAAGTCGCGGATCATCATCGGAGTAGTCTCCTCGATACGCCCGCGCGCATGATGGCCCCAATTTTGTCGAGCGTAAACGATGAAGCCTTGACTTTGGGAAACATCTACAGGATGTACATCTTTCGGCGAAAGGATAGAGAGAGCGGCGAGGCATATATTAGTGATTTGCACTTGGGGGCGTCCATTACCGTCGCTTTATCCACCAGGTCATCAGCACTGATCTGACGCAAACCAGTTGAAAAGGCTAGAGCTTCCTGGAGCTCCGCGAAAAGAAGCGGTCTGGAGGCGAAAACAATCCATGTGATGGCTTCCCTAGCTAGTTCTTTATGTCGGCCTTCAGCTATGCGTTTCATCGTTTCGTCGTAAGCACTCGCCACCTCCTTAAGGAGATTCTTAAGAGCTAGTCGAACTTCATTACGAGTAACTTTGTGTGCCAGTGAATCCACATGCAGACGAGACAGCAGAAACCTTGAATGATATGTTGAAATCTGGTGTTTGCAAAAATAAGTATAATTCGATTGAGTACTCACATGCCTTGACCCTCTGTTACCAACAACTCAAGGACTTCTTCTCTGAAGGCGCCGCTCAACAGCCCGTTCAATCGTGTCCATAAACGAATACGGTCTGTGATATAGTTGCGTACATCGTCTTCATGCGCACGGATATCCATGCGAAGAGCTTCATGAAAGGCTTCCTTGATAGATGACATGTCACGGGAAGTCACCAATAAGCTACCCCCCAGAGATTGCAGACAATGCATCATCTCTGAACGAGTATCGTCGTCCTCGGAAACTTCGTCTAAAGCGTCTACAACGATGAAAACCTGGGAGTACTGTTTGATTTCTTTGATTAATGTATCGCGAACCTCGGATAGAGTTGGATGGAAGTCTTGTTCTCGATGACGTTTGAATTCATCTTTGATACGGTCGAAAGTAAGGGGGAAATCTTGTACAAGCTGTTTCAGTAGGCTTGCAATGAGGTTACAAACAGTTTGTCTTGAACGGTCCTTATATCTGCAATAAGCGTAGACCACAGCCACATCTTCCTTTTTGTACTTCTCAAGATGGTTAATAATGTAAGACCTAGTAAAAATGGGTGATAGCTGATCAGGATAGATTCGAATTACTCGCTACCAGACTTACGCGAGAACAGTCTTCCCTGCACCAGCTAGATGACTCGGCATATTAGTGAAAGGACCACACTGATTGTGATTGCAACGGTGCACTTACGAATCCCAGGACACCAAAGCTTTTGCACGTCACCTCTTAGCCACTGTTTAAATTTCTCATCCTCCAGCACCCATCCTCCCGTTCCCTCTCGCCAAGTCCCACGGACTTCGTTCTGTGTTTGACGAAAATTCAGAGGAGATAACCAGTCTGCGAATTCCAGACGTTCTTTAGCTGAAGTATCGAAAGAGGTATATTAGACTACATTCAGATAACCGAAGAAGATATATCGCACCGGTATGTTGAATATCTTGAGTATAGTGGTTGATCGTTGTGTGATTTGTTTGAGGGCCATGGATCTCATTGTCGACTTGATAGCCATTGCTGTGGACTTCGTTGAATTTACTATGGCGAGCGTCGACAGAATGAGATTGTGCCATCATGGCCCCGACGTCAATATCGCGGACATCCGAGAGCGAGGACCCCGAAACACTCATCTCACTGTGTCGAGTACAGAAAACGGCTTGTAAATTGGAACTTGAACGTTGAACTCGATACCTCTGTCGTGGGGCGAAAACAGTGTAGTTTATATGGCATGCACTGGTGAGGAGAGCTATGAAGCATGGTTACAGGCTGCCAAACACGCCCCAGCCGTAACCTATCCTCAACTCTTTCATGACACACGATGGCCATATTGACGATGGCGATCATGATGACACAGGGACGCTGGCGTGGTTTCGAATATTTTGATCTATTGCTGCAATTGATCATCATATCTGATAGATGCAGAACTAATGTCCACTCGTATCAAATTGTTCGAATAAACCACCCCCCAATAAACTGTTAGGCAACCACGACCGTGGGGCAGCAGTAGGACAGTAACCTCAATAATCCTCCAAGGTGAACATTGAAGTTTTAGCTCTGTCGCGACGTCGCTGGCCATGTGGACCTTTTCCAGGTAATCGCACAGTGCTACTTTTGTAGCTCACAGTTGGAGACATGTACAGCAATCAGTTATCTCTCCATACATTGTCTGATCAATAGGGCTTAACACTGCATACCAAAATAGCAGAACTTTGCTCCATTGATTTCCCACTGGCGTATAGTCCTTTCTGAAGTATCCAAAAGTTTGAATCGAGTGAGTTGCATTGCAATCATGAATTATGTCTCCACGTAGCGGGTGCTCATGGTAGAGATGTCCAGATACTGACAACTTGTGTTGCAATATTGCTAGAAGTTCGACGTTCCTATTGCATCTGATTTTATTTAAAGGCATACTCACAGCCTTTGAATATATATCAATCAACAACCCGTGTACTATGATGTGGCCTTATCTCGAGATTGTTCCACTCACGACCTAATGCCATGGTACCAGGGTTTATCCCTTGCACGTGTGTAGGGTCTTGAGATGGTAGGAATAATATAAAGAGTAGGATCTGATCTATTCCTTTGGTTTTCACTCCAGAGCCCCCATGACGGTTCCAAGCCTAGCCTCAAACTATGCGTTTAGCGTGTTCGGTTTTATTGGATTCGTCCTGGTCAGTATCTTGTTGCCAATGCATCTACGAGGTTCGTGTTGTAACGCTATTCATATTTTTTGGTTCTGATCTTATCCGCAGCGAGGAATGCTGGGACGTGCATGTACATAGTGTGGACCAGCATAGTTTGTCTTACCACTGCCGTGAACTCAATTATATGGAATCGTAACTATGTAAACTGGTCACCAGTTTGGTGTGATATATGTGAGTGGTAGGACTCTTTTACGTATTAGCACTGAATATCCTTTCCGATTCTCACTATCATGATAGCATCCCGCGTCATCATGGCCGCAGGCTGGGGCAACGAAGTGGCTTTACTGTGCATTATCCGCCGCTTGTATCGCATTATCACGATGAAGGCTGTGAATCAGAGTGTCCGTGAGGTAACGATAATAGATCATCTCGATGACTAAAGCTCACAATAATCCTGTAGGCTCGACGTGACCTGATCGTGGATCTATGTATTGGCATTGGCCTTCCCATACTGATTTTATCATTGCGTATGTTCAATATTCATACTGTATTTTACCTTCCGCTACTTATGTTTCGCTGGGACGGAAGAGTACATCGTTGAATTCTGCGATTTCGAGATCTTTGAAGATGTAGGATGCTTTCCAGCCGTAAATATAACAGCACCAAGTATACCAATCTTTGTCATGTGGCCTGCCGTCTTTGCGCTAGTGACTGCCATCTATGCTGGTTTGCATCCTTGAGGCGCTATAGATATTGCAAAGTACTGATAGTTGATTATAGGCCTCACCATCTACGCTACAATCAAACGCAAAGCATATAGAAGAGAAATTATGTCAAGTAATCAAGCCTTGCAATTCGGCCATTACTGGCGCCTTCTAACCCTTACTGGTATTGGCATCGTATGCACCCTGCCATATGGAATGCTGGAATTTTTTGTCAATGTCCTCCCTCCTTATCAGCCCTATAATTGGGATATTGAACATACTGGCTTTTCTGAGGGACAAGAAACTCCTGCATCCCTTTGGGCAAATGACGCCGTGAGTGTGTATAGCATGGAGATTAACCGGTGGTCCCCCTTGTTCAATGCCCTTGTGTTCTTTGCGTTCTTTGGGTTTACGAAGGAAGCTAGACAAGATTATCGTCGCGTCTGGCTTTTCATCATACAACCTATAAGCATCCGTTCGCCGGGTACAAACGTATTGACCGCCAGGTTTGTGGCACGCTGCCATATCTTGTACTCACAACAGATCTGATTAACTGACTTTGAAGAAAAACATCTCTCCCTACCCACCATGCCTTGCGCAACCGTGTCAACCCTGAAACGTTTGGAGGCTCTCTTCGTTTCATGCCTCCTGCATCGTCCAGCCAAATGATGGCGTCCACCGCACAATCGTCGCGTTTTCGGCCGCTGTCTCTACCTTCCATGCCATCTTTATCTGCTAGGGAGCTATGGAGTAGTCGGGTGCGCGATGTGAATGGTGGATCCTTCTCAGTCTCTCAGAGCAAAGGAGCTACAGAGCAAACATTAGATCAAAATGTTCTCACCATGGGGTGGTGTGCTTCTTCATCAGTGCCAGCTGTAACGATACCAGCGCCCGTGTTAGAGGCCTCTGCGGTCTTACGGCGTCATACCTTGGATTCAACAAGACCTACCGCCATCCAGGCACTTCAGCTTCCAACCTCCTCCTCAGGGGGTGGGGTTCAATGACAGGCATTACAATTTTTAGAGACTACTACGCCGGAATCGATCAGAATTTTTAGTCTCGGACTAGTGTATTTGCCAAATATTCCTTCATGCTTAAGAATAACCTATGGTAGTATCAACCTGTCAGATATATTCAAATATCTTGTAGTGGTGCAAGAGTTATAGACATTTGGTGTAGCACCCAATGTTCCTTCAATTCACCGACCTCAGGATGGAATGCTGTGCAATGTACAGGAAAGCGCGGATGCACTGTAAAGTTATGTTCTTGTCAATTCAGAGATGCTGAGAAATGCTTCAAGTAATGCAGGCACAACAAAAGGTGCTCTACACTCCCTCTCGACTTCCTTCAATGCATGCTCTGCGTAAATTCGCCTTCTTCTTTCCTGATGAGTCTCCGCTAAGGCTGTTCGAAGAAGGGCTTCCATGCCTGCATAATGCATACTGTCAGCGAAGCACTGGTATACAATCAGGGCATACGTACGAGAAGTTTGGTGCAAGCTTTCTGGCTTTGTAGCGACAGCCTGGAGTTTGGGGCCTGTGGGCAGAGTATTGGTGTCACCAAGCTCGGCTAAAATAGCTGCTTCCCTTGCATGCTGGGCTTGCATCTCTCTCCGAATATTCCACAGTTCCCGAGTAAGCCGAGTAGTTTTTTCGTTGCGATTTGTCGCCGAGCCCGTGGAGGAAACCTTGTCACCGTTAGGTTTTCCCCGTTCACCAGTAGATCTACTATGGGCTTGTGATTGATATTCATCACACTTGGTTGATTCACTGGATCTAGACGTTGTCCTTTCATGCTTGAGCTAGCACATTAATGCTTTATAGCCATTGAGTACTAAATAGGCATACCTTATCGTTGCTATCCTGTAGACTATCACTGATACTGCGCAGACGCTGCAGAGAATCATCTAAATGACGCAAGCTTTCGTCATTCATTATGATCAATGGACTTCTATGTTGGTCCATTCCCTGTGTATCATGCCTGTCTTGTTTGGGAGACTCTGGAGGATGAAACCGTGATCTATGAGACATGGGCCTCATTGGGGATATCACATTGGAACCATTATCAGCAGAGTCAGAAGTTTTCCGAGTCTTCGGACTGGATGTCAATCTAGTCGGGGGAGATCTCTACGAGACGTCGCGGGACCTGGAACTCAGTGATCGACCTGATGGAAGGAGTGGGCTGGGATATTGCATTAAAGCTCGGCCTAGGTTTGACGAGGAATATGTAAACTAACTCTTCGAGTAATGTCATGGTCAGACTGTAGACAGTCAAAGGCTCTCAGATACGAATAGAAACGAGGAACACGGACTCTCTGAGAACTATAACTTACATGGAACATTTACTCCTGAGAGTCTTCTGGGAAGAGTTATCATGCCGTTCTACCACTATCCGTCGCAACCTTCTGTGCAGCGCCTTTACATTTCGAATTAACGAACAAGAACTTGGCGGGTGGATGATTCGTGAACATACACTGTCACTTGTTGTCTTCCACCCAAACTTGATTATACCATTATCTGCTAGTTCAACACTTTTTCGGGGAGGACACGGTATTTGAAGAACTTCTAAGTCTGCCTTGAGAATATTCATGATATCTACCGTGTTTGGTGCCTGGTACTCTTCTTGTAGAACTTTTGCTTTTGGACCTTCATATTGGACAGAAAGCTGGAGGCTGAGTGCAGGCATGTACCCACTAACATGAAATCACTTGAATATGATCACCAGTGTCACGAGCTACAACCTAGTACGCTGCTTGTTGGTCGTCCAACAAATACACCAAAGCGCGACCGACCAAACAACCGCGTGACATCGGCACTGATATCGATGTGGGTCATCGATTATCCAAAACAATGGTTTGAGAGCTTTAACTTAGGAAATAAAGAAACTTCAACTTCTGGCCTTTGCGCGCCCTAGTAACTTCACGTCAAGTTCAGCCAGACTACATTACAGTGTTGACAGAAAGGCCTGACGTTATCTACTAGGGCATTCAAACTTGAAGACTTTAACGATAAAATCTACCGTCATGGACGTTGTTCATAAATTGGCAGTGCAAGTACATATTCTAACTCTGATCATTCCTTCAAGGAGTACATACGATGTGAACAGGTGTGGGCCACCCTCAACAGCGTTTCGGCCACATTTTAGACATTGCGTGTACTACCTGCACCAGTACTCGTACAAAAACAAGAAACTATTTGTTAGAGTAAAAAATGCACAAGAACTAAGGAAAGACTTGGTTGCACCTGGAAACATTTACCAGGCAACCTTGTCAATCAGCAGTAGTCTCCTGGAGGACCCAGAAGGTGTTGTTGTGATAGGGGAGGCTATCCACAGTGATAAACTTTGCACACTTGTTCTCACTGAATAGTAGGCTGTGCAGAAGTTGATGGACATGACTGTGAGCGTCCACCCGATAAATTATCAGGCTACCTTACTTGAGCACCAGCCTAAGAGTCGGACAGTTCCCATTGACTATGATCACTAGCATTATGAATGCTGTTATAGATGTGAGATTTTACAGTCATTGCTGAATGAACATCACGAAACCAAAAAAATTCTGCCAAGGTAATGTAATGCCTCAGCAGGAGCCAGCAGCACCAGCAGATGCTGGCAGGATGACGACACCTATGCCAGACCTTGTATGAAACCTTTTATTGGGAATTCCCACCCATCTGCTGATGATGTGCCATCACAAAAATAATAATAAATCTGCTAAGCCTATGCAAAGTCTTAGCAGGAGCCAGCAGGCCCAGCAGGTTCTGTAATTGTGACGACATCTATACCAGGGGATGTACAAAAAAAACCTGTTCACTCTCCTCAACTAGCATATTGTATTCTGTGCGATGTCACATTTATTTTCTGTCACCCTTTTATTGAGGTGTACTTTTGGAATACATCATATGATTTTATTTGCCATTGTTGTTGCCTTAATTGCTTCTATTTGCAAACTTATAAGATTATTATATTTCAAATTCACAGGAGGGATTCAAACTAAAGCCACTCAAAGACTTAACAAGTCGAATGCAATACACAACTTAACCACTTAGTAACAATACCAAATCAGACTCATAGTATAAAGTATAATATATACCCTTGTTTTAAGATTTCCTAGTTTCTGTAAAGTCATCGCTAAGCATCCTAGAGTCTCGGAGCTGCCAGGAGGGTTTTCTACCTGACCCTCTCTGTTAAATAACCCAAAATTTTCAACTTGAATTCTACTATCAGAATTTACAGATGGCAGCCTGGCAGCTATCAACAACCTCTTGACACCTATGACAATACTGCTCTACCTTGTTTAGGTTACCATCCAAGCCATGTTGTTTGATACTCTCATACCAGACAACCCGACCACTGTTATATATACATACCATTACGTACAAATACATATAATGTGTCGCAGAAAATACACGCTGTCATGCACCAAAGTTGATTGGTAGCATGGACAGGTGTCAATAATGAAGTGAATATTCAAAAGACTCGCCTTTGCGCCACACAGGCACAGTGCCACGTGGAATGGTAATTAATATTGCCTTTTTCGAACTTGTGGCTGATCAGCACCACCTCTATTAGGCAATCCAGTCACGCTCACCTTTGCTTTTCCATCCGGTACTTTCCGTGTTTCGGCATTTCGGCAAATTTTCGCGTCGCCACTGGCTACACATTGCATTGCGCCCTCGCTTTTGTTGTTTCCCTTACTCCCCTTCCTTTGCCTAGCCCCACCATGGGCCCCTTCCTCTCCTTTTTATTCTCACCTGACGGTCGTTTCTGGATCCCCATTCTAATCCACTTTTCTGTCACCTCCACCCTCCTCCTCCTCATCTTATTTGCACCCCCACCATTTCTGATGTCACCACTTCCTATCCGCTTCCGTCGCCGATCCGTTGACTACCACGTGCCACTGCTGATATCAGCAAAGCCCCGGCGGCCGGTTCAAATAGGGCAACAGGTCCATCTTTATGACGTCGATCTGCCATCATATACTATCAAAACATCGGTCGCTTGTCTTGCCTGGTTGGAGCGTGGGTGGGTAATTTTTGAGCTGGAGAAGGTTCATCCCCTTGCGTCGCCCATGTTCATCGCTGTCCCATTCACTTGGGTACACTTATCTTTTGTCCATCGTCTTCGCTACAGCTACACCTACCACACGCTGCCTGGGACTCACTTGTTCCAAATTGGAACTACTCCTCTCCCTCCCTCGTTTGATCAGGTGGTCCAACACAACCAGTCCATTGGTAAGGCCATGGAACTGTCAGATTTGGACTAGGTGGTGGACCGGTGGCTCCAGTTTCTTTTTCTTCAGCAGAACATTCATTTACAGTGCAATTATTTTTGATTTTTGAATCATTTTTATGGACACATATTTTTTTAGAATGCCTGACTGACAATAAAGGAACTGTGTTGATACTGATAGTGTTTTGCCTTGCCCTTTTTTTACTGCATCTTCCCATGACATCATGATTTTCCTGCTCTCTTTTTGCTATTGGACTTTACTTTATGGCTGTACAAACCTGTGACATTACTCACAGCATTCATTGTTCTATCTCTTTCTTTTCCTTTTTTTGACAATCTTATCCTGTACTACCTACGCAGGATTCATCAGCATACATTCCTTCCTTCATGTTCTTTCTCATTCTTTTTGCACAGCTATACTGTGCATAGCCTACTTTTCTTTTACTATATAAACCCCTGTATTTTACCTTGTAAAAAAAACAAGAAATCTAATCCAGACTTCTTCTCTACACTCAAGTTCACTACTCTGCTACTTGTGATCCAGTGTGGTCACAACACTTCCCACTTCTACCATTATTAACTGCTGTCATCGTCACTCGTCACTTTTGAAAGTGATTGTCTTCCCTTTCGATTAGAGTCCTTCTGAGCACTACAGTTTGTGCGTCAGGAGCCTGCTATCACTGGGAACCTCGTCACCTCGTCATCCTCGTTGTTCTCAAACCTACCTTGTGCTACGATTAGCAAGGTAGTGCTCGTCTATACTCGCCACAAAGCACCTATCTTCCTATAAATTCAACTATCCCTCCTCCTCAAAACCCACACTCATACACCTCTGGGTTTTACTTTGAAGGATCTTTATACGTACCACCCCACAAAAAACCAGACCACTCCACTGTTCTAGGAGGCAAAGCCCATAAACAAGTTCCGTGGAATCTGGGAGGATTGTGTGTTAGTTTGTTTTGTGTGTGGTTTTCTAACAACAGTACTCATCATCGACAACGCCTGGGCCATATCATGCAATCTGCTGCTGAACCTGCTATATTCTGCTAATCTATGCCAAGCTCATCCAATGAGGGTATCTGTATGCTGATATTTGCCAAACACCATCAGGCAATAGCAGGAATCAACCATTTTCCTGATGAAACTGGCATACACAAAAGCCTTCCTAGCCTCTTCATAGGTCACCAACCACTCCACCCCCTCCTTCACAGCAAATTCTGTGTGTCCTTGTGCACTACCTTTATTAGATACTCTGTGGATCAAATGCCTCTTCTGAACTCAAACAGTCACTGCAAGAGAAATGAGATTGGTCAATCAAAAGGCAAAACTACAGCATAATAGCCAAAGACACAACATATACTTTGGGGGGGTCACATCTAAACAACCAGGACCATGTTGGAACCAGTTCTTTCAAGGCTCACACCATTGATGTCACCATGCAGGTAGTTGTGAACAATGCACACGGATGTGAGGCAACGATAAACTATAACAAAAAAGAAACCTGTCTCCTTCTGCTCTTGCAGGGAGTAAGAGGTTCGATGAGCTTGAGGTCGACAGACGCTAGTAAATATAGTGAGTAGAGGATCTTTTTGGGAGGTAAGCTCAAGGGTTTTCGTTGAGGAGTAGAGCGGGTAAATTCAGTTATAGAAAACTAAGGAGCTATACATGAATAGGTAAGACTTTATATAGTGAACTGTTCGTTCTTCAGACCGAAAGGAGAACAAACGAAAAGTGGTCTGAGGAACCAATCGGCCAATAAGAAAAAGAGAGAACAACTATTGTACGACTTTTAACTTGATTAATCAGCGGGTGAGAGTTTTGTACTAATGATAGAGGTTTGTTACGCGTGTTCAGGAACCGTATCCTCATGATGAGGTACGATCCTGGACAAGGCGTTTATTAGTATATCCAGGCTTTACTGGGGCTTGGAGCTGGTTGGCGAGATGCCTACTACCAGTCCCTACTCAGTGTGCTGGCTGGCTGGGAGTGATACCCAGTCTCTGATCTGTGATATAAAGTGGTAGTGATGGTTAAGAAAGCCTGTGAGGGCTATGAGAAGTAAAATGGCAAATGATACCTCTAGCCCTAGAGCCAGAGGTGTAATGGGAAAAGCGTTCGAGAACCAAGACATAGAGAAAATAAGAAAATGATAAAATGGTCCTGACAACGGATGGGGCGAGTTTAGACTTTTCACAGTAAGGGTGCAGTTTTTGGGGTAGGTTACTTGGGTTTTAAGGTTGAAAAAGCCTCTGATGACGGTGGATGGACGAGAGATACCAATTTTAGGAATTGATGCCAGTGTCGGCCAGAGGGAAAAAAAGACTAGATGCAAATGCTCTGACAATGAAGACAACTCCATGTTGGATATAGTGATAAGCCAATTATCTGCCGGGATGTGAAAGGCGGTCATCACCCAGGCTACGATGACTCAGTGCGTAAGTGGTTTTTGGGTTCGTCAGCTAATTGAGAAATGTCGACAAAGGCCTGTAGCAGGGCAGGGACAACAAAAGGTTCTTTACACTCCTTTTCAACATCTCTGACCAGTTGTTCAGCACCTTCACGTCTTCGTTGTTCACTTTTCAAAGTTCTTTCTGCAACACTGAGTTGAACTTGATGTTCTATCAATAGTTCAAATTTGGTGATGAGTTACTGTGATTATTTCAGATGGAAAGACTATGCACCACACGTTCAAAAGCTGGTGTCAAATTTTCAATAACTCAATATCTATGGAGTAAGAGGAAAACATATATGCACTTCTGAACGATATTAATGATCCCGACAAAGCCCCAACACTGCCCCCAGTTATGGCAGCATCGAAAACCTTTTGTCAATCGGGATGTGAGGGTGTGGCTGATGGGGATGCAATTTTCACCTGATTTATCCTGCTCTTCATAATATTCAAATTAGCTATGAGTTGTGGCCTGGAGTTGATATCATCCATGAGAGTTACGGTAGACAAGGAAAATAATAGTTCACCTTTCCACCACAGCAATCAAAAGTCTAGAAGCGTTGTGAATTTTGTATTATGTGAATTAGTGACTCATATGCAACTCACATTATATGGTTTTCTCTGGCGTGAAATAGGAGATTCTGCAACAACTTGAAATATGGTTTATGCATCAGCTGCAGTAGATAATCACACTTACCAGTTAGAACAGAGGAACAAGCCACAATATGGGACACTTACCTTCAATGATGAATGTATTCCTGTCCATGATAACAAAACAGTACCAGTTGATAGTAGGTAAAAGTTGCCTGTCTTTGGGAAGGGAGCACCCAAATCATAAAGAGTATCTTTGACAATGCCTAAAAACTGAGTTTCCTGTATTAGTCCTAGAGTGAGCTGGGATGCTTTTGCCCCTTTATACCAAAGTATCACATCAAGAGTTGTGACAGACATGGTGGATAGATCTGGCATCAAATACTACTAAAGGTGGTGAAGAGCATAAAAGTATAAAAGATATGAATAACCAAGTTGCTATGGATCAGCACTGAATGCACTTCGTTAAAAATTACTGGTTGAACCTCAAGCTCATCAGTCCTCAGCCACAGAGGCTTGGACCGCCCGGCCCACGGCTCCGAGATATTTTAAGCAACGAGCATCTCTTTACCACTGGCAGCCACGTGAAATGCAGAAAGGTAAGATAGGACTCATGCAAACGCAACCACTATGTGGCGCTGTGACATTTGCGTGATGGTCAGGTGATCCGGGAGGATAAGTATGCGCTAAGTACATTAAGCATGGGAGTAGGTACAATCTACGAAGAAAAATATCATTAGGGTACGATGAACTGTAAAAAAAAATGCTATATGACTGTTTAAAAAGACTGAATGGATTAGTCAAGAAGTCACTTCAGAGGCCTGCTGCAAGTTCTCCCATGATACCCATGGGTAAAGTCCAGTGTCCTCAATATCTCCTGTTGGCCCACATTGCCTGCTTGCCGTCAAGACCTTTCCTGTAAGCATCCATAAAGCGCAGTGATCGAGTAGCAAACCTGCGTGAATGTAGATTAGAAAAGCTGTAATTTACTGTTCTTGTGACACCGCAAATTTATGACTTACTGGCGCATTGTGCACAGTGGGACAGCGTCGAGCGCAGCAATGACATTGTGCTCTAAATCGGCCTCGTAATTTGATGGCGGGAATTGACAGTAGGTGCGTTTTGCGTGACCCCAGCATTGCTCGATAAAATTAAGCTTGCAGTGGAACTTGGGGAGAAATATGACCTGGAATCCTCGTGCCCTGCAAGTTACCTCGAGAAGGGACTCAACCTCTGCAAAATCAGGCTCATTATAGAGCATACGGCGCAAGCAGCAATGCGGGGTGTCTTTGGGGCACTTGAAGCCTGGACATTTGGCACAAATCCCATCAATGTCCTTGTACCCGCGCTCCTCAAGAAGGTCTACCATCCCTCGAAAGGCACCTTCCTGTGGATCTCCTGGCGGGAAGTACAGTGACTGTGGTGAGCCGTCTGCAAGCCGAGCATCTGCCATTCGTACTATCTCCTTCATGACCTTACCGTTTGTTCTGTAGACCGGTTGCCCGCTTTCGTCAACAACATTCCTCTGAACACCAAAAAATGGTCTTCCACGTTTTGTCGGGTATTTTGACATCTTGCGGGCAGAAAGGGCGTCGTCTGCTCGTTTGAGGTGAGTGGGTGCATTGTCGAAGACAAGGACATGGGTTTCGGTGGAATACCAATTTTCAAGAAGATCCATTGCTTGACATGCGTGGCTGAGAATGTCTTCATTCGAAAAATATCCCTGGTGATTCTTGCTGGCTTTGAATAATATGCGTGTGCATTGTTTGCTGTCAGGGGATGTCATCCAGCTGTAATCCACAGAAATGAAGTCGGCAACCATGATTGATACACCTTCTCCTTTCTGGCACGGAACTGCCTTCTCGGTAAGGTGAACCCAATAAACCTTACGGCGGTCATTTGCGTAGAATGTCGACTCATTGTGCCACCATACTACGACCCTCTTGGCTGCCGGATCCCGCCAATCCCTTGCCTCCTCAATATCATCCTTCCAAGACCTCATGTTCCATTCCAGTTCGGCAATTGTGGGCAAGAAGCAGGTCTGCCGGTACGTCACGACATCTTCACGTCCATGCCCATCAGTGTATTGACCCAATGGGGCTTTTGTCCAGCGGAAATCCATCATATGCATCCACCTGCGGGTGGTTGCCAGTGAGATTGATTTCTTGAGTCCATACTGTGATTTGATGTCCTCTCTGTCCAGAAAGCGGACAATATCCTGTGCACTGACATATTTGCCGATTGTTTGAAGATTTGCGTGAAGTTCCTTTGCGAGCTCGCCTGTATCAAGCAAGGACACATTCCACGACCCATACAGATTCATTGGGAGGTCCTCCCGATCTGTAATAAACAACCTCGCCCATTTGTGAACACGTTTGGCAGTGTGCATGCGTGTTTGTAATGAGTGTGCCGTTTTCTCGAATGCTGCAGTCCAGGTTGTGGACTGTGACTTGTCCGTGTAAATCCACAGGCACATTTTGACCATCTGAAGCCGCTTTTGGAGGAGCTCATCTCCTTCAAAAGGATTGTGACCAATCCCGGATTTCCGCTTTGGGTGCAAGATCTCAGTGACATCTGCCAGTGCAGCCTTTGCATCAGAAGTCGTGGGTGGTGGTGTGAATGATTGTTTAATTTGGTGTGTTTGTCATGGATGCCATCATTCCCATCATTCTCATCATCTGATTCTCCCCAGGAGTCTGCATTTGTTCCCTTCTCTCCTTTGAACAAAGCATCCTCATCGTCCACTTCCTCCACTATAGGGGCCCATGGTTGATGCTGCTTCGGAGGAGATGGACTGGCAGGAGGGAGGGATGGTGCATCCTCATCTTCAACCTCTTGTACTGTGGGTGACCAGGTTTGTTGGGTCGTCTGTACCACAGGCACAGCATTGGTGTTTCCACGCAGGTTTAAAGGTGCTATAGCCCCAGAAGATGACCAGGTCGGTGAAGTAATTTCTGCAAAAGTCTTTGTTACCCGAGCCAAGATTTTCTTCAGTGACCAGCAGGGAATCTGTTTACTGTTTTCAACTGCAGTCTTTTCTCGTGTGTTTCATCATTGCTTACATTTTCTTTTCCTCCCCTTTCATCACCAGAATTGTCGACTTTGAGCTTCTTGTTGGCATGGCCCTTGAGATTGGAAATGCGTGAAACTGTTGAACGCCTTTTCGTCATCCCAGTGGGCTGGAGGTAATTATTTCACTCTTTAGTTTATCCCTTAGAATGCTTGTCATTCATCATGACTCATCACAAATAAATCATTGCTGGGGGTGTAGTAGACTAGGTAGCACAGATACAAGAAATTGAGAACCTGAGGAATTTCGGGAATGATGATCCTTATAATCCTCAGGTTTTAGATTTCACGATTTTTTGTTGTTCTAATTTCTACACTATTTTCAGGCAGTTTACCCCCGCCAAACAAATGTAAGTGTGACAAGATAGCTCACGTGATAGCAGTCGTATTTGCATGAGTCCTATCTTACAAATATCTGCTGGGTAGTCAAAGCTGAAATATGGTGTTTAGTAAATTTTTGTTACTGTCGAAAAGTTAAGAATATTTCCCATGCGCTACGATGAACGTACTAGTGTATGGTTTTCGGCTCCATCACTGGCAGCTAATTGGGAAATGTCGACAAAGGCCTGAAGCAGGGCGGGAACCACGAAAGGTTCTCTACACTCCTTTTCAATGTCTCTGATTAGTTGCTCGGCACTTTCACGTCTGCGTCTTTCATCTTTCAAAGCCTCTTCTACAATCATATTTTGAGCTTGATGTTCTACTCGTTATTTGATTTGATCAATAAAAAGCTACTATGAGCATTCATAGACAGAGCAATTGCTTACCACATGTTTGTTGTGAAAGCGGACTACAAGCAATAGCCTGAGAATCTGCAGTTACTTGAGGATCGCCTTCTCCGAATTTCTTAAGTTCAGCCAATATAGCGCTTTCTCTCGTGGATGCATCTTTAATATATGCACGTGTTCTTGCTAAATTTGCGCGCAATTGATCAACCTTTGAAGCAGTCTGATCGTGTATATCAATGGGTTGAGAGGAAGGAATGTTCGTCTGCATACCCACAGAAGAGCCTGGAGTAGCAGGGAGAGAATTCTGATATATTATGTAAAGGAGGGGTGCAGCCCAAATATCAGCATCAGCGACCTAGATTGTCAAAGATTATGCACCTTGTTGGTACTCCCTTCAGGACCATGGGAATCAACTGAAGACAGATGACTCGGATGCATCGCAAATATGCTAGGTATTCGGGGAAACGAAGGCCGAGGAAGGATATCCGCATGTGGAAGGTGGTCAATGTGCGATATCTTGGGAACCGTAGTGGGAGATGGGAAGATTGTCGATGAAAGTCCTCTTTGTTGCGTTTTCTGTCTATCTAAAGCCATATGGAGTGCCGCACTTATTTCTGGGCTGGCAATAACGTCAAAATACATGATGATGATAAAGGATCGTTTTTACCCCTTTATGATAGTCATCTCTGCGCTAAATTTTAAATTTTAGATTATCAGAGTCAAATGATGGGCGTGTTCAACTCACATTGAGAGGCGTTCTTTGAGCCGAGATAGTTCAGGGCCATCCTCCAAAAGCTTGGTATAACGGATAATTATTGGCTAAAGAAAGATACACTGATCAGAAATATTGAATAGTATGGTCGGCCAAATTATACTCGCATTGATCGAATGAAAGGTTCCCTGCCAGGAGAGCGATACTAAACCAAACGATAAGAGATGTATATTGTCTGTTTTGGGGCATGGGGCTCGCAATCCGCTAATTGTGGCCTTTACGAGGGCCAACAGTTTACTCTCGGATAATTGGCCTGGCACGAATTGAAAAGCCTTTTCTCCTTTGTATCGAATTATGACTTGCAGGTTCAAGTCCGACATTGTAGCGGTGGACCGTAGGGCATCAGATGGTGCAGTGCGAATTCCACGACTGCTCTCCTTCCGACAAAAACCATTTGTGACTAAGAGGGCATCCGGCATCCGGCCCGCCTCTCTGAAGGATCCCAAGATGTTACGGCACTCTTAGATGGTAGTACAGCTAAACTGAAATCTAGTAAAGTACAGCAATCTAGCACAGCGACTTATCATAGCTGAAATGATAGCAAACAATTGTTGAATATACTTTCACAGCAGAATGCATCGATACAGACACATAAATGAAATACACAACAGGGCAAAACTACTCATCTATACATCCTGCTAAACGTACAGCTTACTACAGCACATACAGTTAACTTAATATCCAACGGAGATGAGATAGTCCGCAAGACCCTCTACAACCGTTGTGCATTCTCCAGCTTGAATTGGTGTGATGTACTCCGTTACTAAAACTGCTTGCTTGGTTTTCACCAATACACACCCATCGGCCTACAAAGAGTGCAGTTAACAAAAGTTGATATCTTTGACTTGGGTAGATCCTACCTGTTTTTTGCCATAAATACTCCGATCATTGGCTTGCAGCGTAAAGAATTTCTGTCCTATGATACGGACGCCACTTGCTTGTGCTGCAACAGGATTCTTGAACGACTCTACTATGGCTTTCTGCTCAGCGGGAGCGATCTGGAGAAGATACCAGATCAGATGGATGGGCTAGGATAATGGGGGATGGGGCACACCGTATATCCGGAAGAAGATGCCCATACACCTCCTGCAAGACCCAGGATAGCAGCTTTGGAGACTTTACCACTTCCAATCAGGTTGTTGTCAACATAAGCTGCGCCGCTGGATATCAGGAGATAGATCTAACGAAGCTTGCTGATCTGAAGCAGCCCACCTTGCCAGGACATATTTCAGTGAGTAAACGAAGGATATAGGCTGTTAAAGGGATTTATCGAACGGAACACGATTGCAAATAATGATAGTAGAGCAAGAGTGCACTGCCAGAAGAAACAGCACGGAGATCGCCTTGTGATATGAAGTATGTAAGCGGCGCTCGTGACGGCAAATGCCAGGTTCTGCGTCCGAAATAAACTTGATTATGAAAAGTCAATTTCTCTACTAGCACTCAACTAGCACTCATACATTTCACGCACCTGAAACTTTCATTTTTTTTCAGTTGCATTAACACAGGCAAGGGATCAATGCTGACATAAAAATCACCATCATCATAAGTTCAACCGTTCAGGTTCATTGTTCATTTGGTCTTTCCCAGCGCCGCTGTCGACTGTCAATCCGCACGGAGGATGATTTGAAGCGAGTGCATGCTGCACAGCACGTGTCAGGCTTGCTGTCTGCTGTGTCTCTCATGTTCCTAAACCACTAAACAGTACGTACCTTGAGCTAGAATGCTCGAAATGATTGACCAGGCGATCCTACTCCCAGTAAATACAACCCTTGTACTTCCTCGAGTGTTCAAGCTCCAAGCCAGCCGACCGGCGCTCGAGACTGGACAGTCCAACGTCCAGCTTTCAACTACCGATACGTATATTCTACTCTACCTTGCGGATATTTTGTATTTCTCCCACAGTAGAGGAGATAACAGGCAACCTCTCTGATTTTAACATTCCCTCAACATATCAAGGCACGAAAGGGCTGATCAGACGAAAGAATCATGATGCCTCTGTAGTACCTCGGCCTGCCAAGATTAACTTTCACGGCGACCGTGACGTGCCTTCGCGCACGGCCGCTTGATTTTTGTACCTACCGCTGTTGTTGTTGATGATGAACAGTCAATCAAAACATATCCAGACCCATTTGGATCATTACCTGAACCTCAGTTGAACCGTTTATAAGAAGGCTCTATACGTTCAACATGGCATCAGGTCTCTCCCACTCGTAAACGACATGCGTCTCGTTTCTATCATTCTTCCCGCTGTTGCCCTTTGCTTTGGCGCTACCACAGTATTAGGTGAGGCAGCCTTCGCGACGTTCTTCAGCACATGCACAACGCATAATGTCACACTGAACCCTGTCCTGCAGCTGCGACATCCATCAAAGAAGCATGTGGGGCTGGCAAAGTTCTGAGCACCACCGTCATTCCGTACGGAGACCAACAGCTGACGATAACTGAGACTCACTGTCCAGGATTCGAGGCACTTGGATACAACTCGTCTCGCTCAGGCAACGAAAAACGGGATGTTCAACAGTGCAATGAAAATTGTCTGTTTGATATTATTTTTGCTTCTTGATACAATTCATGTTCACCTCGGGTGTTCAGGCAGCAATTCGTGCACGATTACTGCCACTAAAGCGAGTTTCCCTGCTTGTCAGGCGTTGACAAATAGCCTCGCATCCCTGGCATGTATGTGTTTTATTTGGCTGTACTAGAATTGTCGTTGTTTCTGATGCCATTTTCTGAGAAGTTCAAAGCTTTGTCATGACCGGTGGTACTACACAAACATTCACCTTGGGTGGGGCTTGCGTGTATACTTATGCCAATTACGACGGTTACACATATGATGTCTGTTACAGCGATTTTGTACGTATTTTCTTATTTTTTATCTTTTGCTTACAGAGGGTCTTACATTGAAGTCTAGGCAAATGTCGGCGAGACGACCGCAAACTATTGTATACAAGGTATTGGTACCGGAGCAGGAATATGCAATGCTCCCATGGTTCAGTATGAATATTGGGCTGTGGAGTAAGTACCAGCTTTTAGATTGCAATTTTTCATGTCACTGACAGACGCATTTTTATAGAGTGTCTGCTTAGCAAATCAGTTGGATGAAGTTGAAAGTGTCTGCTGTTGAAATATCCTGTATATTTTCTGCTTCTTGTACTTCCTAGCCCCTGAATTTCGGCAGGAAACTGTATGTAAGTCTGTTCGATAGGGACGCGGTCGCGGTTGTGCTTTTGCGTGGTAACCTTTTTGCCGACTTAGCTTTTCGTTCTGAGTGCTTGATCGTTCAAAGATTCTACCTTTCGTGCAGTCAAACGACAATGTGCTATATCGCAACACAACAATAGATCGTACAACTGAGAAACAGTTTTCAAGTCCGTCTGGAGAGAACTGGAGAGAGAGAGAGAGAGAGAGAGAGAGAGAGAGAGAGAGAGAGAGAGAGAGAGAGGCAAAGAAACATGACCATATCATACGGGTCATACTGGTAAGCATAAGACATAACTAGCTCAAATGAAATAAAAAAGATCTGACGAAATAGTTAGCTGCATGGTTTGCATAAAATCGAACACCCTCTAAGCAAGAGAAGGCGAAGGTGACAGCGAGAGGTTGGGTCCAAGTCCCAACTGTGTCGAAAGGACATGAACAACAGCCATGGATATATATTGTTGAAAACCATACCTTGAACCACGCGTGGAAAAAGGATACCTTGCGCATCATGGCCATGACCTGACATGCCCGGCATACGCTCATTCGCAGCGTCACAATCTTGCGCTCCTTTCTCGTTAGGAAGCAATCCAGAGACAACATCCTCTTGCACCCTACACATTTCTCCAATACTCCATGCGGCTCCGTCAAAATATCGAGCGGGAGGATCGCGCACGAGCGAAAGACGTTCTTATCGTCGGTTCTTCCTTGATGCCATTGCGAGATCGCGTAGCGCATGCTATGGTCCTGTAAAACGAATACAGTATCACGGGTAATCCATCCTTTCTGCGAGAAATTCACGTATAGCATTGCTATCATACGGATATCGTTGGCTGCATATCGTAGTAACTTTGCAGAAAGTGGACGATCGAGCCATAAACCTGAGCCGTTAGCCTTATGCATGGCTACAACCTCGGCTGTCAAAAGAAAATATCATTGTGAGTTCGGTGGTTTTTACTGCTAAATGCAAACCATATCTAACTTACGATCTTTCCCCGTGAAAGGTAACTTGTTCTCCTGGAAGCATCCCTGCATACCAAGGACGACATGAATGTTTTGACACAGTTCTCTGTTTGATTTGACGACTTTCCACGGCAGGCAACGTCCAGCAATACGAGCCACGCGTTTGTTCTCATCTTCATGGCGCACCGTCTTACGGGACACAACTTCAACTAACTGCAGGTCAAGTATCTTCCCTAAGGTTATACCGTACTTGTCCCATATCTCCAGAAAATCCTGACGGCCGTCCCACATGACCTTGGTCACATATGGACTGCTTAAGAGCCATAGCAATGACTGCACGGCAGGATCATCTTGATTTAGGGCGAGGGCGTCGAAAATAAAGATATGCTGCGCTCTTGCGGTCCCGATGCACAGCAGCGAGAGAACACCACCGATGCGCCCTATGTTCTTCCCCTCACAATCCAAGATCAAATAGGGCGAATGAGATAGTACACTGACGGCGTTCGTGACACTCTTGCTGGTGCTGCACAATGTATACGCTGGACCGTCGTCCATTGTGCATAGTCCAAAAGATTGAAGAGAGATTGAAGTAGTTAAAGGGCGGAAGTAAAAATGGCCTCGTTGTAGGGAAGCATGGATACTGGCAATGTGAAAGTCGTGAGGCGCAGCTTGTAGTACTGTACTCGGAAACTACCTCCTTTCTGGTAATCTTAGGACACCCAAATGGGTATTCGCCATCTTATCTGCGATTTCAATTTAGAAAAACACGTTTCAACCGCAAGCATACGATACGCTGTTCGAGCCACCTCGGGAGCTTGCATTTGTATTTAGCGTTATCCGCGGTCGTAAGACTCTACGTAGAAGAAGAAGAAGGTTCAATGGTTAAAGTTGCTACTACACAAATGTTGTACTACACACGCATTTCCTATCTGGGATACATATCGTCTTCAGGAACTAGATAACCACCCCTAAGCAACTTGGAACATATTCGCTCCTTCCAAACTAAAAAGTCCATTGACATAGGAGAGTAATCCATGGTCGTATGGTTATCTTACGGAAGTTTATACACACCTATGTCGCATTTATTAAAAGGACGCTAGCAATTGATATAATTATATACTACAGCAACAAAAGTAGGATTCATCCACAGAAAAATAATATGCCCCTGTCATGCTGATGTATAACACAACTTGTATAAAATCTAGGTCCATATATATATCATGCATCGTCCGCCGAATATTGGATTGATTTGAAGGCCCAGTGATTGGTTTGCAGCTTCTCGTAGACAAACGTCCAAGGTTATATTTCAGATCCTTGTAAAGTGGGACAAGTAGGATCAAAGACGTACGAGAATGTTGTGGTCGATGTAAATTGGAATAGCGAAAAGCATCTCGGCATGTAAACCGATAGCTCTCGTCGAACTGCCCATCGCGCTTCTTGTTATTGGCACCACCAACTCTGAACGGATTGTATCCTAACATCTCAAAGCCAGGATAACCATACCAGGTTGCGTCTCCATCACAGGCTTTCCCAGATAATATCTCTTTTGAGATCACCCCTAGGGAAAATCAAGGTCAGTACCGAACAGAAGACTCATAATCGAAGTTCGTGCCTAGATACTGACTTTGGTACCCAGCTATTACAGTGCTTTCGGTGGCTCTAGTAGGAAGAGCCGCGAAAGCGAGGATAATGCAACCAACAATGCAGAGCTGCATCTACAAAAGCTTGGGGTGAGAGAAAAAATTTGTAAAAGGCGGGCAAGCTAACAAAGAACAGTCCCGTCTTATGTAGCGGGTCTATGGCGTTTATCAATCCATCCCAAAGTGGGCTCTGGCTTGTAAACACATTCAATACTGACAAACGTCTCCAAGCAAGCGAGATGCCGAGTATACTTCACTGACCGGAGATGACATACGTCAACGTCAACGTCGAAGGAAGACTTGATGCTAAGTATGAACATTGTGCCGTACATACCGTGCTTCGGCGTTCCATTGCAATCAAAGCGGACACCTTTAAAGAATATCAATGAACAACCGTAGGAATGGAAGATGACAGTGGGCAACTATATATACTTACCATAAGCCAAGGTACCAAACGACCAGTGACGGCGAGTGGTCGGTAACTGACCGTCTGTAAACACTTGATCTGGAGCGTTCTAGTCAAAGGCACAGATTCTAAAAAAACGTCGTTCGAAGCAATAAGCAGGGTCAGAGAGGGTATGAGAACAGGCATGGCTAGAGCCCATTTTAATTCAAAGCGCGGAATTTTATTGCCATTGAAATCTTTGAAAGGAGTTACTGAGGTTGGAAGTTCGTTAGCTTCGTTTTGGGGCTTGAGAGGATTCCACGGACAGTAAAATCATGCTACCGCTAAAGTATTCCGTCACCGTCAGAAAGGAGAGATCTGCTCTTTGTTACGCTATAGCCACAAACACAGACAAAAAGATCAGCCATAACCAATCCGACTTTTGAATTTGGAAGTATGTAAACGTGACTGCAGGGTACAACACACATGTGAAGATGCACATTGATGATCTCATAAGAATGTTGAAGAGCTAGAAGAGTCACATCTTGACTGCGGCGTTGACTCAGGAAGGCAGGAATTCAGATCTCAAATATAAAGGGCTAAAAATCAAACAGACCATTGCTGCTTCATGAGGCTTAAAGCATGCAAAAGAACCAATGCAATGGGTAGATTGGCCGCGGGAACAGCGACGAGCGAAACAGCTGCTGTCAGGTGAACAGTACTTTTAGTACAGCGCGAATCCTTCGAGGCCTTAACCTGGTATGAGAAGCCTCCGAACCCCGAAAATTCACTAATATTCCCAGCACAAAGTGCCAAAGTAGAATGAATGCATTAATCGAGCCACTACTTGCTGAACGACCGAATTATTTTGGCAGAGATGTGGAGGAAGAAGATAGACGCAATGAACGACAGAGATAAAACCAGAACGATGAATGGGTCACTACGACAGAAATTTATTGAGTATATTTTGCTCTTGTAAAAGATGCAAAAATGAGAAACATACACTCGTAAACCGGGGGAATCATCCGTGTACAGCTTTAGCATGGTCCCCGAAGACCCTCCAGCGCCAGCTGCACGAGTCGAATTTGGTCTTGATGCTTGAGAGCCAGCAGCACGTCGGCTTGGTTGATACAAGATAATCAATATGTTACTGATTGAACAAGTGAGTCATTTTTGCATACCGAATCTGAGCTCCTGGGGGTTTGGCTACAGCGGAAGGGCGTCCAGTAGTTGCGCCATTACGGCCAGATGCGTCCGAGTCAGACTATTAAGTATTAATATTTAGAAATCAACGATATTTGGATAAGAAACGGTTGAGAAAAAGGACATACCATAGTTTTGTTATGGTCACAGTTGAAGAGGCTGGAAACGCGTTTGCTGGCAAAACGTAGTCGTGGAACTGCGAGGCCGTGGGAACACTATTGGTCTCGTGACCCAGATTCCTTTCCTGGTTACCACGTTCACCGCACGCACTGTCAGTCTAAGAATCAAAGAAACGAATATCATGTCGCTGGTATGTGATAGGTCCAGCCGCTCTATTGCTCAACTTAAGTACCACGTTCTCAGATACATGCATTAGTTGCCCGGGAATCTACAATTCTCGCTGAACACCAGGCAGGACAACGAGATTTCTCGCACGGTGCGTAGTTAGTGTTTCCCAGACATACATGTGGTTGTAACATGGAATATGGCACAGCGACCCAGACTATATTATCAAAGATTCCTCAGGGAGACAGTAAATTAACTTATGTTTGGGAACAATATCTCTTCCACTATATCGCAGACGATGGTTTCGTCTATCTCGTAATGGCCGACGAGTCGGCAGGACGGTCAGTTGCTGCATATTATTTTGTTAACCCCTTAGTTGCTGACTGCTTGTGCCAAATGACACAGGAGGGTACCATTCGCATTTTTGACTGACTTACAACGAAAGGTAAATCTCTTACTAGCCCTGTTTTTGTTCGATCCTCACAGTGTTATAGTTCACAGATCTCCCGTCTTCTTCGTCTGCCGCTCTTTCTTCGACTCCTGCCCATGGATACCAAGGCACTTTCTCGCCCACCATCGCTTCTCTCATGCATACCTACAACACTGCGCCTCCAGCCGACGAACTCGCTCGTGCACAAACCGAGCTCAATCAAGTGAAAGATATCATGGTCAAGAATGTGGAACAAATTCTCAGCAGAGGAGAACGTATAGAACTGCTCGTTGACAAGACGGATACAATGGCTACCCAGGCTACCGCATTTAGAAGGGGTGCGAGAACTGTCAGAAGGGATATGTGGTGGAAGAATAGCAGAACCATAGCACTGAGCGTTTTGGTCGCTCTGATTGTGCTCTGGATCATCATGGCCCAATTTTGTGGGGTGACTTTGAGCCAGTGTGGGGCTCAATCCTGACCTGATGTCTGTGAGTTCGTTGTCGAAATTGTCGAAGTTACCTTCTATGGTATTGTACAGCCCACTTGCTATATTCTCTACTACTTCTATGATGCTATCTTATTCCGTCTTTTCTCTATGTTACGCTTGCTGTACACGTATATCGTAAACAATCTCATCCTTTTATCCTGCTATAAATAGCCTATTAGCACTGCTAACATTATGGTGAAAAGAGAGTGGTGCCTTGCAAAGAACACAATACATATCTGAGGCGTAACACAGCACTATAAGTACACACGCTGTACAAACTACTCGCTCGAATCACAGTGCATGATAAACAAAATACTAGACAAGTGGACGATAGGCTCCAGGTGAACCCAACACAGTGAATCCAACATCGCGTAGCGACAGCCCAAATCAAGTGTTCGAAGCTGATATATGAATAAATTGAAGTCAGACGCCATGCGCTTTTGCCACATTACCCTTCCCGCTTCCATGCCGCTGGCGATATTCTCCGGTACTACTATAAACCATGGTGGTATCCTTGAGCGAGCTGGGGTTGGAGGGCGCCTGGCGCAATCTTTCCCGCTCCCTTTCGCGTTCTCTCTCTCGCTTTTCGTTTTCCAGCTGCCAAGCAGCCTTGCTGGCATGCGAGACACTAGGAGGTCTATGTGTTGAGGCGTCCATATGTACACTAAGAGAAGAGGAAGAATGCTGCGCGGCGAGTGGGAGTTTAGGAGGAGTGTGAGAACGTGAATTAGAGGATGATGGGCGGGAGATGAGGTGAGTTGGTAGAGGCTCTATGAACTGATCTGAGCGCGAGGACATATTTGAGTGCAACGAGGAAGACGTCGCTGGACTGTCAAGTATATCATATAACTTGGCCTTCCAGCGTTCATTATTGCTTTGATCATCGTTACCGTGACCGAGGATCTGGCGGGTAGCGATTTGGTCCTTCGATTTGGATTCGTAGACGGAAGACGACTTGTGCCTGATTTGAACCGGTCGAGAGGAGGGAGACACAGAGCGGCTAGATGACTTGGAAGCTTTCTCGGGGGACACTGATCGGGAAAGCCCAGGCTCCCGTGCCGCGACGTCAGAATCCCTTGCCATCCTGATTGACAATCCGCTAGGCTGTCTGGATGAATGAGAGTCAAATGGAGATGGGATGGGAATAGGTACGGTGGATCGAGGTTGAGGTAACGGGTATGGCATCGGTTTCTCTTTCGCGGGATAGTTATAATCTAGGTCGTCAGCCTCTATCTTGGCTAATTTCATCTTGGCCTTGAGGATTTCGTCATCATCGTCTTCAGCAAGAGCGCAAAAACCCTGGATGGCAGAAGGAAGAGGAGAAAGAATATCTGGTACCGGAGACAGATGAAACATAGCCTCCTTCGAAGAAAGTCTTTCTTTATCGTCAATTAGAGAATCAAATGAATCAGACTTTGCCATCGCAAGGTCGTCGTTGCTGGAAGCTTTGTGTGGTTTGTCAGTGATATAAAACTGGCGTACTTCGATTGGCCTTGGTTGTTCTGAAATGGGGCCATGACCGTAGCGTACGCGCCTCAGTTCCTCGCGAAGATGATTGCATTCGAGAACAGCGTTATCGTACTAAAGTGCTTTCGTTGAGAAACACACACGCAAAATAAAAGATTATACGTACTCGACTGATAAAAGAACAACAAAGAAATTAGACATTTATCTGCAGGGATGAAAGCAGACTGTTTACCTTTTCCACTGAGCATCCAGCTGCTCGTAGTGTTCTCTCAAGCTCTTCTCGACAGCTAGTGCAGTTTCTTTTTCGTCTTGGCACTGTCGCAAAAGATCCTGATGTTTACGATCAGCATCTTCTAACTCTTTAGTCAACTGATCTCGAGCAGTTTGCCAGGCTTCACACGAAGCCTGAGCTTCGCGCACTTTGTCGCTTTCAGCAGACAACTTCTTCTGTGTCTCAGTCAGATGATACAACAGCAAGAAGCTAACCCTTAGGCTGTCATACTGTGAAACACAAAGAGATCAGTGACCCGAACATTGTGAAACAAAGAAAGCAAGGGCTGACCTGATCAGGGGGTTGATTCTTGTACCAGGATCTGCAGTCGTCGAGTAATCTGCGCAACTCGGAGACCTTTGCACCCTCTTTGACGATCCTGGCAATGTCGTTCTGCAGTCTTTGAGCTTCGTCATCAGAGGTAGAGCGTTCAATCACGTCTGTCACAGATGAGGGTGTTACTCGCGGTGTCTGACCCCTATCAATGTGAAGCTTCCTGACATCCTGGAGCTCGAATCGGGTACGACAAAGGGGACACGTCAGACGAGTTAACGACTCGAGGCATCTGAGGAGAAAAAGATGAGCTTTGTGTGACCAAGAGATGGGAAATGAGCTGCGTACCCCTGGCAAAAGGAATGTCCGCAGACTATGGCATGGGGAGTGTTCTGACCATTTGAGTAGCCTTCTAGACAAACGTCGCAGGTAGAGTTTGGATGAATGACGAGCATATCACGAGCAAGGAGACGAGGGCAGTGAGGGACGTATTAATGACCCCCGGAGCGGTGAGATGGCTCAGAAAAAGGATTGAGGAGGTATAAGCCTGAAACGGCTGTTACGCCTAGTGGATGGGGCGTGGTGGCCTGAGTAGCACAAAGGACGGACATGATAGAGCCCTTGTTTGACGAGGTTATAAGGGCACGAGGCAGCTAAGCGAGGAGAGATCGAAGCCACTGGTATCACCAAGAGATTCGTACTACAGATCAGAGATGCGAGAACGGCTCTTCCGTGACGCTAGCGAGTTATCACAACCTATATTAGACGTTATATAACACATTCTTATTCGAGAAATAACCTGAAATAACCCACAAATGTCGGTCTGGAAGGGACATAGCACTACAAATCAGGCTAACTGCGATAAACAGGGGTTTGCTCTTCCACCGGCGATCGGCCCGGCCTCGCCTCGTGGTGAACATGCTTTGCTATAAGCTCAAACCCACGTACTTTGTCCACTGCCCCCACGTTCTCTGAAACTTATACCTTACCCGTTTACTCTTAAACAGCCTCAAACGGCGGCTGTTGCATAATAAACACCATGGATTAGAACACCTTCAACCACAACGTAATCTCAAAAATGCTCTCTTTTCTGGTCGCCGCTCCAGCCTGAGAACTTCATCAGCCGCAACACGTTTTTGCAGCCAACTCTGCTCGAGATCGCAATGCAGCTTTCTCCACGCTCATCACCGCTGTGCTTTGTTCTGTGCCACGCTATCACCAGAATCATCTGGAAATGCCATCTCGAGCTTCGACGATACCGCACCAATCTCACAACGTTGTTTGGGTGCTTAAATGTGACACTCGGACCTTCAGCATGGTTGATCGGCCCATTATACAACATTATGGACTCGGTTATGGTCCCGAAATGTTGCAAATGAGTGTCGGTGGCGAGCGCTAGTGGCCCCTCTCAAGTTCTGACGTCTTCGAGCGCGTCTCTTTTCTGCCGGAGCGAAAATACTGCAGTCTCGTACAAATTTCGGCTTTGCCTCGAGGATTATACTTTTTTCGGTTCTTTGCACCTTGATTTTCATCACGTCTCATGTCACAAAGAGTGCAGCTCACTTATATCTGGACATGGGCTTCTGTCTTTGTTCTGTCGCCCAGTCTATTATGATCCTTCAAGCGCTAAACAAGCTATCCGCTGGCAGCGGCTCAACGTTTTATCAACCTTAGCTGTATTCTAAGTTCATGCTGTCTTTCTTGTCTTGTTCCTTGTTTCCTGTCTTGCTGCTCTGATCTGGGGTTTCATCTCGTATCTACCGTGGTGCTCGCTCTCTGCTCTATGATCGTCGATCGTCGATGAGGCTTTCGTCACTGATTTTCAAAACATGCCGTGACTTGCATCCGACGTTAGTTTCTGCTCCAACTGAAGAGCCCAAGGAGGTAGACTCACCTTTGACGAAGTCTCAAGTTCAATCGGCACTTGGTCACTCCTTATTTCTAGTAGCAAAATTACTCAGCTCCAAGAGGCGTTTCTGGTGCGTACTTTATATCCCTCGATATCACATGGACGTTGACCGTCTGTTGACCTTGGTTTTCCCGTATTTAGCTGTCTTTCATTAGCTGCCCCCTCTATTCTTTTCATCTGTCATTCACTATAGCTATCGGCATCACGGGTGTAATATGTAGCACAGAGAACCTCTCTATACAGGGCCTCTCCCCCACACCAGACTTCCGGGGGCAAAGGAACCAAGCTCAGCCGTCAGTATTTCTGACGTGGAACGGGAAGTTCCAATGCGCTAATTTTTGCTCTGAAGCATATCTGAAGGTATATCTGGCTGATCGTTGGCAGCCATCCCTTTGGATCCGCCATCGATAGGCACACCTTTGTCGCCAAAACTCCAATCCCGGTGCCGATTATGTTTCCCGGATACCGGTACACTTGTATGAAGAACTTGCAATTGGAAGCGGGGACCGTCCGAGAGTTGAGAGCACGAATGTCTCTTCCAGGATTAGTGCGTCTCCAGCGGTATCTGCACCATATCTGCTCGGGCGTTGTACCATCGCGATATCGGTGGAGCTAATTCCCCACTTTACCAGAGTGATATACGCCACACGTACACTAATCAATGTAATTTAATTTCGCATCCTTTCAGAAACTGAGAACGCATTGAGCGAGGTCATATGGCTGTCGAAGAATGTTATCAACAGGGGGCCTTTTCTCATGGTTACTAAATATGTATGATTTACTTCTCGCTCCGCATTCATAATTGTTGACACACGGTGAGGGGACACCTCGTGTCCGTCAGAAGCTTTCGAAGATACATTCGGATTTCTCTTTTGGTTTGAGTTAAAGTTTGGCGGATGTCAGGAAAATTCCAATCAACTTGTATCGCGAAGACTACTATCCTTACGTTGCTTGCGTTATGGTACTGCAGCAGACTCGTTGAGGTTACTACAACTAATAAATACTTACGAAATTATAGAATACATCGTTAGATTGTTTACAACAACAAATAATCCCGAACACACTACGACAATAATACAGGTATAGCAAAGTCATAACAAAGCAGAAACGTGATCATAGCAAGATACTCGAGCGTCTAGATGATATCATGAGATGGAAGAAGAAAAAAAATATGTCGGTAAATCTATTTCAAGGGCGACTTGCCCACATATGCAGCACGTTTGGTCCACCAACGATGGGAGTGGGCGCAACGATATCCGGTCTATACACGTTATCTGGAAATGAATTCAGACGAGGAGCAGCAGTTGTCCCATGCAGCGACAATGAGGCATCGAAGGATAAAGCTAGTGCGTTTACATTCTGATACATCGTGTCCACATCTTGCTCCCTTGGGCGCGACGATTCTGACTCTACGTTGACCGCTTGCGTCAAAGAGGTGTGCCGTCGATGTTGTCGAGCTCGAGACTCCCGTTCTGCGCGACGCTGATTACGATCCGAGTCGGAGGAGTCATGCCTATCGTCGACTACAGGGAGTCTATTAGTATATGAGATGGAACGTCGCCGGGTCTGCATGCTGTTGTCGCGAGTGTAATCGCCTTCACTCTCCAGTATCAGGCCAAGAACAGAACCATCACCTGCCCCATTCGCATACGGAACCATTGCACCCTGCATCATTGGCGTCCCAGCTTCATCGTCGGCTTGGTGTACTTCGTTGGTTTCGCCCTCTTGTTGGCTGGCATCACGTCCTATCAGCGATATATCACTGGCAACACTTCCCTGTCCTCTCACACCTCCGTTCTGGAGACCGATTAGTTCGAGATCACTCAAACTGCCTCTCGACACAGTATTAACAGTGCCCCAGGACGTCACACTTCCGGGTGAACTCAAATCACCTCCTGTAGTTCGTTCCCCGAGTCCCGAACTCCCCGATGCGCCAGTAGCTCCCACATCGCCCCCTGTATTGTGGGTGTTGGGTCTAGTCCGAGACCCTCGAATTGACGCCCCTAAACCATTGACTCCCAAGAACTGACTTACGTTTTGGGCAGGCGCTCCGCGTGCCGCCCGTTGGGATGGATCTTCGAGCAACGATACGGAGCCTAGGTCAGGGGCAGCTCTCTGCGATTGGGTGGCAATCAATCTTCCAGGGAGAACATTCGGTCTACCCATGGGCGTTGGAGTATCCTGATCGTCTATCCTGGATGTGACTGTGCTTACGGCCAGGGGCTGTGGGACACCTGATAGACCTAAACCTCCCATATGCTCTCTGGGCTCTTGCATTGGAGGTTCCGACATGTACCCGTCGTGATACGCTGGACGATACGCGCTAGAACCACGAGCAATAGAAAAACCCGAATCATATCCCCAACCATAGCCATCCAAGTAAGCTGATGCAGATGCCATGCGCGTTTCGACATCATTCACAGGCTGCTCTTCGCTTATACTCTCTACTGGACGATCATCGACAATTCGGTGGGAATGTCCAACTCTGTCTCGTCTCCTTCTACAATCTCTATCTTCCACGTCTGTATATCTGTCGTAATTGGTATCGCTTCTGGCCCACTCTGGTGGGGATGATGAAAGTGTCGAAAGTGTCGGAATGATCCTTTGAGTAGGATGGGCCCCAGGAATAATGTGTCCTCTATCACGAGAAAATTCATTTGCCCGGATGAATCTTTCGGCACCGGGGTCCGCAGCAGGCTGTTGCCTTGAAGAATTAGATCGGCGTCGTGTCGAATGCGCACTGACAGAATCTGCGACATCCCTGTTCGATTGCCCCACTCTTCTGTTTCTCTCCTCCGCTCTCGAATGTTCTGACTGAGAAGGGCGAGAGACCTGTCCAGATGACACATGAGATGGACCTGCTTCGCCAGATAGTATGATGTTTCCTGTTGTATTTGCACGTGCTCCTCTCGGTGGTTTTGTAGTATTGTACGATTGTGGATTAGAACCCAGGAGAGGGTCTCCGTCCCCGATACCACCTGGTCTAGCAAAAAGAGGGAGGCGTTCGAAGGGTAATGGTTCGGGAGGTGGTGGTAAAGGGTTGGAGACATTACGGGCACGAGGGGGTTCGCTACGTAGGGCATCTAGTTCCGATTTCAGCCGGGAAAGCTAATATAAAGAGGGGTAGAAGTGAGTGCTAAGTCAGCCAACTCAGATAAACGTGAGTATGTGCACCTCTCTAAAATAAGTATAATAAGCTAAATTGACATTTATATGCGAGGGACGTGAACTCACGCTGCATGTTCATCATCTATTTCTTGGATTCTAGCAAGCAGGTTTTCTTCTACTGCCCGAGCAGTTTTAAGGTCTTGATCAGCACTGCGCTTGGTGGATCGTAATTGGTGGCGAAGATGACGGTGCTCAAGCTTTTCGCGGGCGTACTTGTCCTGAAGAGCCTTGTAGCGCTGTAAAGCATCCACAGAACAGTTCAATGCTCTGACCTATGTGATAGAAATTTAATTCAGCACTACAAGGCCTCAGAGCGTAATGAAATTAAAGTATAAAAATAAACCCCATGCGACGATGCTTTAGTGCAGCCTCACACATGCTGGTCCCGGAAATCGGGAATAGCTGGATCACAGGACGCTGCGCCGAAATGGGGGAAGGAATGCGAAGGACACGACCCTTTACCACATTAAAAAAACCTCTTCCACTCCTCTTCATTCCAGCAGCCATGAATAAACTATGATACTCACCGAATAGACATCACTCGGTTCTGTCGCAAGCCAGCGATCTACCTCCGTGACGACCTCAACTAAATCAGACTCGGCAACGTTCTCTCCGGAAACCAATGCAACACGTTGCAGCAGGGCATTAGCTTGAGACTCGGCTTCATCGTTGGTGACATCGTCAGACTCTGGTGGGCCCGCCACATGTAGTTTTTTTACGCGATCTGGTTGGAAGGCCTTCCGGCAAAGGGGACAGGCACTTGGACTGAGAGCAAGGAGGCATCTGATCGTCGAGGTAAGACCGCAACACTACGAGAAAGAGCAAGGAGGCCAGCAAAGCAGGACGCACGTGAGACAGAAGATGTGACCACAAGCAATGGCGTGAGGAACATTAGCGGGTGTAGACGAGATATTGTATGGATCCAGACAGACATCACAGAGACTAGAGGGATGAATTACGAGCATAACAGAGAGAAAAAACAAACAGGAGGAACGTTGAGAAGCCTAAAACCACTGCATAACCTAAATCTGCTGCAGTCCTCGGTTGGGCAGACGCAGGGTTTTTTGCAAACCATACTATTGGTCAGCGTCCATATATGGTAGGTGTTGTGGTTCAGCAGCCTTTACTTTTGGGCTTAAAAGCCACATTACAAAGCTACATCCAACCCTGGCGGCGGACAGTAGCACCCCAATCCAGATACTAGCACTTAACGAAAAACAGTAAACGTCTCGCGCTATAGATATATTGTTTTGAACACTAGGCTTATTACACGCTCTTCGGCCACCATCGAGCACCCTCCTTCCTGAGCAGATCCAGGGTATCATTTCGTTGTCCCGTAACCGCTAGCTCACCCAAGTATTTCTCCAGCGCTGTATATGCCTCCATTCTTGCAAAGAACAAGTGGCTTATCAAATCGCATGAGTTCACACGAGGGCGTTCGGTATTGGAGTCTACTATATCCCTGTTTATCGGGTTGACTTGAGAACTTGGACTGGAATCATCGTCCGAGCCATCACTGTATTGAGAGTTCACTGATAATGGTTGACTTCGATGTGTGATGAAGGGGTTTGCAACAGGAAGAGGTGGACGTGAGAAAAACTCCAATTTTTCTTTGGACAAACCCGAAGATCGGCGGGGAAGCAGCCCTCGCAGGACTTTGTATGCAGTCAACGTCCGCTTAAGCCTTGTAAACGGCGATGATATCAGCGCTGAGTGGCTCAAACCATGAAATGGTGCCTACTGCTTAAAGTTAACTACAACCTTGAGCATCAGAGAAATGTTGCTTAAGTGACAGTAAGATGAGACTTGCCCCCAATGAGTAAGTTATGCCACTTTGCAAGAAACCATGCGGAGCTGTAAGCTACAGCTAATGCTCCCATCGTGCTCTTCGAGAATCCTTTGATAGTACCGTCATTCCCAGAAATAATGCCTCCTAGCGATATTAAGGCCTGCGTTGCACCAGAAAGGAGCGTATTTGGCCTGTGGAACGTACATGTAGTATAGCGCTCACTAAAGCGCACAACCCATCTAACCACAACCTTTGCAACTGCTGCGTAACTGACGCCCATCCCAAGACCACCAAACACCACCTTGAGTTGAGCCTTTGTCTCCTCTTCGCGATCAGGAGATAACAGACGTGCACCCAGTCGAGCAAGGATATAAGCGGGCAAATGAATCACAAATACAGGGATGAAAGCCAGCGCTCGAGGATGGACTAGCGTTGAAAAGAGTTGAGCCAGAAATTTTGCCGTTGCATCGGTAACAGTGGGAAGATTTTCTGAACGGGAGGATGACAAAGATTGGCGAAAGGTGGAAGACAAAGGATAGAGAGAATCCAATGATGAGTGGTAGGTATTAGTGTAGTGAAGGAGCGCGAGATAAGTTATGAGAGATCGTTTGGTGCGGATAAACGTCTCGGTATCCAGGTTTGAGCTTGTAAATACGTTGACAAGGCTTTGCAAAACGGTGTAAATATACTTGAAACTTCCCAAATCATGCAGAGCTGCTCACGTTTGAGATATTTCAACAAACTTATTCAAATTTATACATTCCTCGTCTGCCCAAAGTATGTCTCTAGCCATTCGTGCAGCATTCAAAGAATCCCTGAGGTATGGCTAGAGTCAGAGGGACAATATGGAGAGAAAATGGTTGATTACCAGTCGGGAGAGTTGATCGTTAATGCCACCAGTCGCCTCTCGATTTCTGCTGTAATCTCTTTGACAACAGCTTTCGTAACCTCGTCGTCGTCATTTCCATCGATAGCGAGTTGGCTTGTATAATGACTAATAATAATTGGCTCCCCGTACCTACTCGACCATATGAGTTGAGTGCTGAAACACGACCATAGACACGACGATATATATACCTTACGCACACCTAATCAAAATATATTAGCGGTGCTCTAAAGTCTAGGTAGCCCCTGAGAATGCGGTTGTAAAGAAGGGACATTGAACTTACACGGCTCTGGTACTGTGACTTGTCAGTGTACACAATACCGGCAGGAACTATGACGACTTCCATCACACTCATGCTGGCAACGTCGTGGTCTGTAGCATGCTGTCGCTTCGCCCACTTCGTGAATTCAACAGCAGCCCAAGCAGCCCCTCCCTTCACTTGCGCTATACCTGGCTCTGTATAACTCGTGCCTTCAGGAAACACTCCAATAACCTCGCTACTTGCAAGAGCAGTAAATGTTTCCCTAAACAACGCTGCATGGGCCAAAGACGACGTAGAAGATGCACGATCTGCAGATGAGCTGGTGATGTTGGGATTTCGTTGGACAGGGATGCTACCAGAGGATATTAGGATGGCACGAGTAATGGGATTCTTAAATAGGGTCGATTTGGCCCAGAAACAAAGTTGACGACGATGAGGAATGGTTACGGCTGGCGATATATTGTATGTCTCAGCGAAACCACGGGAACAGAAAAAACAGGCTTACCAAGTGTGGCTATATCGATAATCTCGTTGTGATGTGTAGATGCGCTAACATATACAGTGATTAGTGTCCTTTTGGTTGTAACGACATTATTCGACATACAGAATCAAAGGTCCATCTCGAGGGACATTCTCTACCCCAGTGATGTAAACCTCAGAATAGAAACCATCCGCTGCCCAGTCTGAGATCTTGCGAAGAACGCGATATACAAGCTTTACTTTCATGCTTATAAGATGTCGTAATTATTCTATCTTTCAGCACGATTATCAGAAAGATTCGCGCGAGGTAAGACAGAACAGGAATAAGAGTAGCCTTAGGCACAGCTGCCGGCATAACCAAGTCATGTCAGCTTTCACGTGATACCCTAACCCACACCTAACCAGAAGGTTCAAAAGTACATCTGGGTGAGAACGACCGCGGGGCAGGTGTCTGGTTATCCCCGAGCACCTGATGCGCGTCGGACAGCGACATACGTATTGGGCATTAATATCCTAAGTACATGCAGCAATATGGAAACGTTTTGATTTTTGAAGCTCCAGCTAAAAGGTGATAGAAATCATAGACGACGACCACGGCGACCACCCTAGTGCGAGGTGGAATGCATCAGTAAATTGTTGATGCAATATATTAAGCAATAGAAGCTCACCTTTCTCCTGGTAGAGTCCGTGGGGATGGGGGTAACGTCCTCAATCCTTCCGATACGCATACCAGCACGGGCAAGGGCACGCAGGGCACTCTGGGCACCAGGACCAGGAGTCTTAGTACCGGTACCACCAGTAGCGCGCAATTTAATGTGCAGAGCAGTAATTCCGACTTCACGGCAACGCGCGGAAACGTCCTGAGCTGCAAGCATAGCAGCGTATGGAGAAGACTCGTCACGATCAGCCTTCACTTTCATTCCACCTGAATATTACAATATATTAACTATAGCAGGTCTTGGGAAGACATATAGACATACCGGTCACACGAGAGATAGTCTCCTTGCCAGACAAATCGGTAACGTGAACGAAAGTGTCATTGAAAGAGGCATAGATGTGTGCAACACCGAAAACGAGCTCTCCCTCTGCAACTTGAGGACCGAGCGAGACGGTGTTTTCTTCCTTGGGTGCCTTAACTTTCTTGGGGGGCTATAAGATAGGGAATCCCATCATCAGTAACACAATCCATCGCAGAAGTATAAAAAGTTGGCCGAACAGAGACATAACACGAAATGAATACAAAATCATAGGACAATACATACCATTTTGACGGCTTGAGGTGTTCAGGGAGTAGCTTTAGCCTTGAGGACGGTCGATACGATGAGGAAAAGTTGTCTGGCACACAGTACGGATTGGTGCAAACAATAACAAATAATAGCACTGCCACCTCTGACACGATCTCAGGCTTGAATGCAACTTTAACAGTGGGCAGCTCATCGAATTTATTCTAGTTTCATCCGCTGTTCATACTCAGCCTTTACTTGTGCGCATCCTCAGTAATAAATGGACTTGCCTCAAACGGATAACATTCAAGACACTGAATAATCTCTACGCTCCCTGTAATATCTGAGGATCATCGCAGTTCCGAGTCTCAGCCAGTCTATAATCATGCCCAGTTTGAAAGGCAATTCAGGTGAACGCGACATGCGTTAGCTCTAGAGACGCCCTGATCCCGGGTTATCCAGTCGTATGTGCCATGACTTCAAGATAGTTCTTTTACCAAAAGGTTGAACAACACTCCTGTTAATCGTCGGTTTGCTTCTATATTCAGAGCCAGAGCCTCGAGAGCTCGTGGTGGTCAGTCATATGACATGTTGACATGCAAGAAACTCAAGAATATATCTCCCCAGGTCAGATTTTCATCCTATATTGATATCATCTCGATCTCGCGTACTAGTACATAACAGTGACTCATAAGCTTAACACAGGCTACAAGTTCAATCTCCTCGGAGTTGGTTGCTTCAGCTTTCAAGCACTGGCACATCTAGACTGGAGATATCGGAAATGTCCTAGTGACTGCCGAGCTTCATTTTCCTATACATATCCAACACCACAATGGCGTATAACACGAGTCATATCTCGAAGTTGAATGCCCCCTTCGTTCATTTCAAGTCAGCCGTTTTGGAAGTCTATTTTAACTCCAACGTCTTACAAGGAATCCTGTCATTTCGTAACTCGTCTGACAGATGGCTGCCGTTGGCCACGGAAAGGACTGTGAAAGGAGCAGAATATCAAGAAGTTATCATTATCTGGGAAGTTCTTGCTTGGCACTATCGATTTGATACAGATAATAGTTTCTTATCAGATAACGTGACTTATTTAATCCAAGGTCCGTTGATTACCCAAGTTGCCTCGAGGCACGCAAGAGCACGCAAGACACCGAGACTCAGACTATATAAAGCAAGCACCACTAATCTCGGCCACCATTTCCTGTCAAAGATGGCCCCCACTTCATGCAGCGCCCTTAATGCCGCCATCACTCGTACAGGTATTTGTGCTAGACTCTCTAGCTCGCTCGGTCACTAATATTGGAATCCAGGCTTATCGTACGCTCAAATCGCCACACAAGTTGGCGTTCCAGAGCAGCGTGTTGTAGAGAGTAAGCCTATCGCCGCTGATATTTGACAACCCTCTGATCGCTCTCTTAGTTGTCACAGGGAAAGCGACAGCCACTAACGAGGAGTTCGCTAATCTCAGCCGAGCTCTTGGTATCACCCAATCCGTGAGCCCGTCGATACAATTGCATTCTAGTTCCTCACTGATCTCTCATCGTAGGCTCCCCACGACTCTGCACATGTCACGAAGTAAAGAGTCCGATGATAGCTTGTAGTAGCCCGCATTGTATGAATAGCTTGTACCACACTTAAGGTTAAACGATCAGATTATCTCTTTATTGTCTGGCTAAGAAATCCTCTGTTGAATGGTGTACCATATGCATCAGCTTACTGGAATATCGAAAGAGGCTGCCATAGTTCACAGCGAGGAGAGTGGAGACTACTAGACCTACCAAGGATCATACGACTCGTGATGCATGATGCTGCAGTTCACTTGTGGCTCGAGCTAGCTTCATTGGGAGACAGCGTCGTCTAACAGATATGTTATTTATCAGTACACGTACGGCTCGGCTCTTCCGAGTTATCGGCCCGGTATAGGGGTTAAAGGAAAGTCCGGATTCACAATGCTGCAGATCTCTTCTGTGGTCATCTCGTGCAACTGCTGCTCAGAGAAGCCAATTTCGGTTCAGAATCTTCCCTGTTAGTATCACTTCGAAAAAGGGATGTTTATATGTGGAGGATATAACAGCACCAGTAAGAAAGATTACTCTTGAATTACAACCATCAGTTTCTACTTGCCGGCGAGTCTTGTAAGTCGAGAATGTCTGAGACTGGCTCAGAGGGCTATTTGAGAGCAACTAGCCGTCCAATGCTGCCATCCCGCACCCACATGGCAGGGTACTGGCAGCAGAACTGACCGCCTCGGTGCTAGTGCCATGACAGCTATCCCATTATCACCATACCTGTCCATTTCAGCCTAAGCGCTGAACTGAAAGACGCTAGCATTTCATATAGCTCATGCCCAGCACGTTGGACGCTGGATTCGTCATGACATTCCATCCCACCCCAGCAAACTGCCTCCAGCTCGGACATAGCTTTAATACCGGTGTGCCGAAGGTGTTACTTCCCAGAATCCGAACCACTTACTCAGGCCGGCCCCTGGGTCAGGTATTACTTTCAACTACGATGGGTCGATCCTCTAATAGTTACTTACTAGCCGATGTCTTTCCCTCGCGTATCGCTTCGAGCGATCGATTTCAGCTCTCCCTGACAGTTTTGGACCCGGTTTTGCTGCCATAATTGTATTGCTGACTCCTGAATCATCATCGTGTAAAGCGGTCGGTCCGACATCGATTGCAGCTTTCTCTGAACAATCCACGCATTTATTGTCTTTTAAGGGTGTGCTCGCCAATGTTGGCCCCGTTTGTCGGATATTCAGGAAAAATCGTTGCCTACTGTCCCACTTGCTCTGTTATCGCCTGGGACCGATATGCCTTGAGGTATGTGCATTTTTTGCGATAAGTCTCCCTGCCATCCACCATAGCTATTCAATGCTGCCACCGGCGTGAAACTCTAACCTTCCCAACAATTGAATTGTTACGTTTTTTTCCCGTCCATCTTCCCTCTCACCTCGAGGCTTTTGAGGCTCTGATCTAGAGCTGCATGCCAGGGCGGCTCAGTCACGGCTGATGGATTGCTTCTATTTCTCCCTATTCAAGTGTCCCTGGATTCTAATCGGTGCACTCAACCATGTGTTGTGTTCTTTACGCGGTCGTAGACTAGCCCGAAGAAGGAGCTGCGTCTGCCTCATGGGTACCAGACTACGCGGCATTTATGTCTATAGCAATGAATGTGTGGGACAAGTGCAAGTCCACGTTTGGTGTGGGGAAGACTCATCTGCTCATTCCCAAGTTCGATGATGTCCGCAGAGCTTAAATCCGTGCTAACGGTGTACGTCGCTGCGTCTTCGTCTTCGAGATGAGCGACTGAAAACTGATATAGACAGGAAGCGCCTGATAACGATAAGAATCACGATCGAAGTGAGTTTAGTCTCAGCGAAGATGACTTCACAAATAGTCGATTTCCATCTCGAGTTATCTGAGCGACATCGTTCACAGGCGAAGTTCGATGGCAGCTCGATCCAACTGATAAAAGAAACGTGTGCCTGATTTCATTTCTGCCTCGTGTCCTCTCGTCATGACGCATCTTTCTCATCGGGATTAAAGCTACTCATCGATACCAGCTGCTCATTGGCGGTGTCTTGATATATCTCTTGATATGAGTCAAACTGTCAAATTGAAGATTCGAGGATGCTGACGTTATGCATTGAAAGTTCATGAATATATGAACGGCGACCTAGGAAATGACCTTCGTGAAGATAGGCGTACCAACAACGAATTGTAGGAGCTCTTTATAGCAGCATTGAAGACACGCTCCGACGAGCAAGTATCTAAATGGCAGTCGTCTTTGCCGTCGGTGTTACTCTTTGATCAACACGAGGAGACAATTTAGCCGGACCCGAGGAAGATCAAGATTCGAGAGGAATATATCCGCGAGGATAGATGAATGCGATTTTGGAGATAACATGTGAAAATTCCAATTTATGATAACGAGTAATCGCGTATACCATTCAGTGAGCAGAATGCAGGTTATCCACAACGTTCTCGCAAATACGCCGCGAATCTGGATATTTAAAAAGAAAAAGGAAATTACCGTAAACAGCACACGAACTAGCGCCTGAAAGACTGCAGAACGGAGAGGAGGATACTCACTAGAATGCTACTATACATGACATATAGCTGGAGTAGTATACGCCCCAGCTTTAGTATTATACTTCATTGTCGCTGTCATCTCCGCACAGCTCCGTACATAGGAATAGTGTTTGACTGATCCGGAGAAATGGGATAAGTTTGTGGATCAACGGAAGGAGGTGGCTCTCACCACCAGCCGTGGTCCATGTAGTTCCGCCCGGGCCCATTGCCCTTGTCTGACGTCTGTGGAGTCGGCTTGGAGATACGATTGATGTTATAGAATTCAAGAAGGTGACGAGGCTGAAAAACACTTGCAACAAAACACTTGTACTAGAGCACACTGCAAAATAGCCCTACGGCGCCATGGACGTCACCGAAGTGATGCATTACCAAATGATACGCCGGAGCGGAATCAAAGAAGGAACATTGGCAAACCATGTGTTTTAGCACCCGAAGAGAGCTTTAATTGGCGAACAGAGAGTCATGGCGCGACACATGTAGAGTTCACGACATATTTCCTAGAAAAGGACATCAAGGGAATATACTGACAAAAAAAGAGATATTTTTACCCGCTTCTGTGCTCTTTGTCTGCAAGGGTGGTATCTAAACGAGTTCCGCAGTGCAAGGAGCGCGGATTAAGCTGGGACTGCCCATCCAAACCTGTGCCAAAAGTGACTCATGTCAGGACAGGCCGAGGCTTTGGTGAAAATGCCCTAACCCTGATCTAGTTTTTGCGATAAACTGTGGACCAGAAAACGCCATTATTTCTCGAGGAGCTGTATGAATTGGAATCTGGAGCAGGGACTGGAAATGACACGTAAATACTCACAGTGCCAGGCTGGACGGGGAATATGAAAGGGCTGAATGAAAGGAGCGTGTTTTGGAAGGAACCAGACGAAAGCTGTTTGCGTCCTTTGTTTGCCATGCGACCAGTGCATTGTTTGTAATACTTTTGTAAGGGCGTCCATTCTAGGATATTCGTCTCATGCTATTTATCCATCACCTGGTCAAGCGATATCCCTTGTCAAAAATCTCTGTCTAGCAAGCCTGGCAAGGGTTTCATCGTCTTGACCATGCTCACACTTAGTCCTGGTTCCGTGTGCGACGTGTGCGCAGAAGAGTACGGTCCGCATTGCTTGCCCCATTCCATTCCCTGTGGTAAGCTCACTTTTTTCCCATTTTTTTTTCTTGGTGGGAACTTTTTTCTGACCGAGTCATATCGACGAGCAGGCCATGTTTTGTGTTCAGGCTGTTGCAATACCATCGTAGAAAAGACATCCCCTCGCCTTACGCCCGTCTGTCCTTTCTGTCGCGAACAGTTTACTAGCGACACCGTTCGTTTGATCCGTATCGACTTTCCATCTAATGCCAGGGCAGCTCCTCGCCGTCGAGGAGTTCCTATAGAGGCCCATGACCAGTCTAGTGATTTTGGAGCACGGAAAGAAGAGCGCTTTCTGTTGATGGAGGCGAGCTGCTCAAGAGTTCGCGCGGAGGCCCGTAGGCTCGAAGACAAGGTGGCCAAGGTCGCCGCAAAAAAATGCTCAGTGGAGGAGGTCACCACACTCCACAAGGAACTGCAAGAATGGTTAACATCTGAAGTAAAGTCCGATGATCAGGTATTTTTTTAAAATACTCCTTCAACACTTTTTTTTTGCTGATCTTCGCGCCCCAGCTTTCTTCTTTGTCATTGAGTGCCGCACTGCTCAGGGCTATCTTGATGAACCACTTTGCTCATTCCGAAGCAACTAAAATGGCTAAAACTACTGAAGCCAACCTCAAAGCTAAGCTCGATGACGCGGAAATGGAAGTTTCAAAACTAGAAGCTGAAGTGTCAAAGTAAGTCGACTTATTTCCATGCATCCAATTCTCCGATCTAATCCACATGTCTTTTCTAGACAGGTGAGACCATCTTAGGCTGACAACTGAGTAAGACTGACTTCTGACCTTTTGCAGCGTACGCTTTATACCCAAAAAGTACAAGAATGTCAATCTCTGCGTGCAGAGATTAGTCGCTTTAATCTTAAATCCACCGTTGCTGCCCATCTACCGGCGCGCCCAAGTTCTGCAGCGCCGATGATGGCAGGTGAGCGACGGCAATCCATTTCTTCTGCGTCGACGGCATCGTTGTACGGCGCAAACAATCAGTCGCCGTTATCTCGCTTAAATCCCGTTCACATGCGATCGGCCTCTGCGTCCATGTCTCGCCCAACAACCCCAGCTATCAGACCGCACACACCTGCGACTGTCCGACCGGAGACGCCTGTGTCACCTCTTTATCGGGCAACATCCCCACCCCCTCCGCTACCATCGAAACCTCGCACTTACTCAATTTCCTCTCATGTTTCCCCACAAAAAATGACTCGTTCCTATTCTGATGAGAAGGAAAAAGAGAAGACACACGAGCGCTGGTTACCCTCCGTTGACATCGCTTACAGTCCTCCTTCGAGCAAATCAATGAACTACTCGCTCCCTGCGGGCTATTCATCTTCATCTGCATCAGCACGGCCCTCCGTAGCTCATCGTTCAACGCTTTCGACGAACGCTGCTTAGTGTGCAGGACTAGACTTTTCGACTTGATTTTGATTTTGGATACCAGACTTCCTATAACTATCTTATCACCATTTACTCTTTCGACCTCGCTTTCCTCGTCCGGCTCGATGATTTCACGCTCTTCCTCTCTCGAATCTTCTTCTGACATATATCATTACTATCTCTTTTCTCTTTTTGGTTTGTCCGACTCTCTGACCCTGTGGATGGAAAATTTACCACCATCGCAGCCTTTCTGTTACTTATTATCTTCTGCTTCTATTTCTCGGATTATTCTTTTTTTATTGCAAAGAGTCACTCTGATCTCTTTAATTAGTTGCGCGGATCCACAACTTCCTGTAGCATGGCTCTTTCCTCTTGCTTCTTTTACGCCCCATTGACGATTAGGTAGATGATTTGGATACGAATTTTAATGAACATAGTTAGGTAGTTAGTACTTGACCATAGACTTTGCCCCGAGCGTCTACAGCTAGTGATGACGTCTCGTAGTGGCTCCATTGTGATGACTTTACCATTGACGTGCCTGTACCTGTAAGGAACTTGCAACAGCTTGATCAGTATGCTACAGCCTACGGTAAGTAGTATGTGAACATAATGCTGATCCGAGTAATCTGATGCCGTTACGATCATTACAGAAACGACGGATTCAGATGGCATGTGCATGTGGACGACCAGGCTGCGCACGTCACCGATGCGGCGGCGGCAAGGTCGTGTCCATACGTCCATATGTTCACCAGGCCTTGACATCATTGGATGAGGGTTATTCGTACATGCCATGGTCAGCTTTTCATTCTGTGACTGGCTGTGCTTTGACATGCAGATATCTGAGTCAAACGAAATATCGATTCTAGGGATATGTTTTTACTATTCTGGCCCGGTTTTCAAGTGCTTCACACTCAAGTACTTCCGCGGTGATTCTGCCCGTCGCATGGAAGCAGACACCTGGATCCTGAGCTCATTTGAAACACCCGCAACCGGCCTGGGAATTGTACCTCCCTATAGGTGAGCTGCGCGGCATCCTACACCACAAATATACAGTCTGATCATTCATATCAGGGCCTTTTTCAATGGCGCTTACTTCATAGTCTCAGGATTCACATTCTTCTAGTGGAAATACTAGCGTACTCCATGCGCTGAACAGGCTGCCAATATGCAATTTCAGGCTTTCATGTTCCAGGTGCGTACCACGAGTTATATGAATCTACCAAGTTCTGGAAATTGCTGGTACTTCAGAACGAACTTATCTCTCCTCCTATCAAGGATTTCCCACGTTTAAACTTCCCGATAAACATCTCTGCCATCACTTCGAGGGTCGGCAGGACCCTTATACCAATGCGGTTAGTGGTACACCATCAATGATCATCTTTTGAGCTGAAGAGTATACGTTTTTTTCCATCAGCCAAGGAGGTTTCAATACTTGATCCGTCCCATCCCTATCTTTATGTGAGCGCTGCGAAAGTAATAAGTACATATCTGAACCTCGTGGTTACCAGGTGCTAAAATTGGCGCAGACTTGCCACTCAAATCAGGTGGCTTACTAGAGGTGTTATTCTAGAACTCCCGTGCGGATGGGCTATACATCACGACGAAACTTTTCAGTGATGAAATTCCTATCTATAACACTCATATTAATAATACTAAAACGTCTACATTTATCCTCCACAGTGAAGGTGTTGCGCTTATCGTTGAAGATAGTGCAAATCGTGCAAATCGTGCAGCAATCTGTGCATCCAAGTTGTAGCCGCAGCGCTGACAGATTGATGAAGTCGAGCTAATAGGTGTGCTCGATTCTCAGTTCGTGCTGCCAACTTCAGTGAGTTCAGTTCGTTTCTAATTTAAAAAAAGAAGCGTGTGGCTGCACCAATTCATTTGGGGGTGTAAATAGGGCGCCTACTAAGCTTGCGAAGACATCAAGACAGGGAAATGAGCCGATGCTATGGCCCCGTGCCAAGCTTGTCGGTCATATGTGAGATGATGTGCTGCAGTGTACGCACCTTTCAAACATGCCCATTAAATAGCGAACATGCATGGCTTCACAACGAACCCAGCACCATATATCGTGGCTCGCAGCTATTCGACCCATCAGCAGGTATTCACCTTAACTATCGGTAATAGTGGGACGACACTCCTACAGCATGTCTGAGCATAATAACATTTAATTTGTTTCTACAGAGCCTTAGCTGACATGGGGTTTAACGCCAGAAACTCGGAAGTCTCGAAGACAGAATGAAGAAGGCTGGAAGAGAAAAATAGTAGGAATTGGAAGGTCAGAACTTCGTAGCATTAGGGGAAATACGTTGGATGATAAGACTTATTACGAAAATGTACATACCTTAAGGCATACCGTAATTCAATTACTTGGAACGATGGCCAACGGAAAGACACCGGAACAACATAAGTCTGAAAGTAGTATCTATATGCCTGCGCTAGATAACCTGATTTGAGTGAATAAGACATATACCCGTTACGAGAAGTGTCTTTAGCTTCTCCCCACTTCACCAGCTGTAAAGCATCATGCATCATGATTCAGATCTACAACTGTACATATAGGGAAAATGCAGTAGATTTATATATACTGTACACAGACATCAATCACGTTCACATTCGTTAAAAACATCGTATACAATCATGCAACATCATAAACATAAAGCAAAATGCGTAAATCAGATAAAGCGATAATAACAGGTGCTCTCATACAGTGCTCGAGTCCTGCCATCGTGGCTTTCCAGTTTCATCCCATTGTCTAATTCATCGATGTTGACTAGCTTGGTGCTTTCAAGATCCTCTCGATTTCGAGCTGCACTCGCACTCGCGCGGCCTTCCCTTCTGGACTTTGCCCGCCGAGGAGCTTGTCGCTCGAGCCGTTGATACCTTGCGTAGCCCCCATGTACAACAGTTCGAGCATCTTCACCCACTGCCGGCCCCATATGTTCTTCGCCTCTAGCCCGGCGACATCGAGTCCAGCTATATGACATCAAACCTACACGTCAGTTCCTCACTCTTCACACTTTATCATCGCAACACCACGCGCAAGCGCCTGGTAAGGTGCCAAAAAATGTAGAATGCTTACGCACCGTAAAGCACTTGCGCTGCAACAGCTGTCTCTAGCAGCCTCGCATCTCCAATCATGCGTGCAAAGTACGTCCAGAACCTTGGCATCTGGAACATCTTCTCTAGAGGTTGCTGGACTGGTAACACCAATATCAAAAAATACACCCTCATAATCCCTGTCACCCTGGCCACATACTCCCCAGTGCCTTCCCTCACGCCTTCCTCACTCGTCCTATATCCCATCGCCTTGATCCTCTCCCCTTCGACCTCCCACGCAGTCCCGTCCGAATCTGTAGCGGGTATCGTAGAAGGGATGGGCCAGCCACCTGAGCGCTGGACGAGCTTCGCGAAGAAGATGGCAGGGAAGCAGTCGAGGGAGGTGAGGAGGTTGACGGTGACTTGGGCGAGGGGAACGGCACTTTTTTTCTCGGCCGTTACTTCTGTTTCAGCTTGGAGGAGGATGGCTTTTGCAAGGGACGAGAGGAGGGCGAAGTATATGTCTTGACCATGGGGCTGGTTGGGTCGGGCGATTTCAATGATTTGTTGGGACTATGCGGTCGTGTAAGTGAGTAAAGGATAGGGAACGGGAGGAGAGACTTACGATGCGCGATATGGACTGAGGGTCAGTTGTGAGCTGCCCTATTTTGGGCGTAATTTGCCGCCGCAAGCCACTCCAAGCACTCTTCAACTGCTTGTTTGCTTTTACATTTTTCATCGGACCAGCTTTCAAGTTCTGTACGGATCGCGGGTCACTCTAATGGCAACCTCGAAAACCGCAAAGAAAAGGCTTACCTTTAGCGTTTCACGTGCTGAAATCCAGTCTTGATCAGCGGCAGTCATACCCAATAGCCTTCTCCCTTCTGCTTCTGCGTGTATCCGATCTGCTTTCTCTCGTCTCTCCGATTCTTCCTGTTCTCTTTGCTTTCGTGTTTCTTCTTCCTCTCTCTTCCTCTCTTCCTCCTCAGCCTGTCTCCTCTCTTCCTCTTGTCTCTTCCTCCTTTCCTCCTCTTCTCTCACTTTCCGTTCAGCCTCGAGCCGCACTCGCACCTTTTCCTCCTCATATCTGATAGTCGCCTCGATCCTATCCTTCTGCCTCTTATCTTGGTCTTGCCACCTCTCTCGTAGCCCGTTCACATCTGTCTGCTGCTGCAGCTGCATACTCGCAAGTTGCTTTTGCACCTCTGCTAACTGCTGGGCGTGGATGGCGGCGAGGCGTTGTAGCTCCTGCGTGCGGTGCTGGGACTGTTGCTCATATCTGAGCAGGCGTGAGCGGGTTTGCTCTTTGCGAGCGGTGCGCTGGTTGATGAGTTTATGGTCAGCGTTAATGATAGAGCGGGAAGTGATCGTATGGTGAATGAGAGTGTGGAAGATGAAAAACAAGATATAATCGGGAAACGAAGGATTATGGACTTACGAAGGCATCCTTCCGTGTCTGCTTCTCCCACTCTTCGTATGGATCATAATGTCGCGTCCGAAGGCGTATCGCAGCGACTGTCTCCTCGATATAGCGTTGTTCGGCTGGATCGCGCGGTTCTCTAGATGGCTTTCTAACATTTAAGATTTTCGTCAGAACCAGTACAAATGCATTGGAGGAGAGGGAGAAAAGGGTAGTTGAATATGAGACGCACGGGGGTGGTGGAGGGACCTCTGACTCCGATTCGTAGCAGAATGAGTTGGAAGATATGTCGTTATCTGATGAGTCTGTATCTGAGTCTGAGTAAGGGCTAGCTGAGTTGCTGTCGTCTGAGTCGGACTGGAGGCCAAATGTGGAACTTCGCCTGTTTTGCCTAGGAATGGGTGAGTGATTAAAAGGGAAGATTGGGAGCAGGATTAGCGTTACCGTCTGACGGGTGAAGTTGAAGGACTGCGGGGCAGACCGAAGCGCATAATGAAGGGGTTTATTGTATCTTTCGTGGAGAACGTGAAAAGATATGATTTGGGTCAAAGGGAAGTCTGGATTTGTGGTTGCACTTCCAACTCGCTTGAACGAACAAGATTCACGCTGCTGCAGCAAGTTGTAGTGCAACTTCACTAAGGCTTGCAGTCTGAACGAAAAGCAAGCTTGTGGATGGCAAGAAGTGTCTCAGTCTACATCCACGAATTCACAGCGAGTAAGGCAAGCGAAGTGGCATATATTGCAATGTCTATACTAGGCAATAAGAGTTGTAACTAAGGTTAGGGTTAGGACCGTGGAAGAGCAAAAGAAATGGCCTGCCCAGCCAGAGTGGCCGTGGCAGGACTGGAAAATATTGAGACAGTGCATAGACCGAAGCCTATACAAATCGTAGACACCCTCTGTATGGACAAGGTCGCCGTGCTATGAAGGATCTCCACGGCCCACAAACCAGAGGACTTGAAGAGGTTCATGCCATCAAGGTAAGTATGAGGATTCAACTACGGGCGAGCCCCCCTTTTATACCGGTGGGACGTGCGCACGGACCAGCCACCCAAGCAGGCAGCATTGCCTTTTATGGCAGTCAGGTGAGCTTTTCGTTTCAGCTTTTCTTACAGTCGTCTATGAACCATGTATATAGTACTCTTACACCCATCATCTCCTGAGCTGAACATCAAACAAAGTCTGAGCTCGTCCATGTAGCCCGTTATCGCCAACTTGCTGCCAGCTACAAGCCGTGGTAGGACACTGAGAAGCTTCCGACGCTGGCGAAGCTTCGGACAATAACGTCTCGAGGTATTTTCTGTCTTCTAGATGTCAGAGCTCGACTCTTTGTTTTCCCGAAATGTTTCCACGAAACAAATGTCAAGAGCTTTTCACCGGCATATTCAGTTCCATCAACCTGTATCAACCATGACATCACGCATCTTCCCGCAATATTATATAGTATCACCTTCTGATATCTCTCGCGTCCCGTCTTCTGTCCTCGTAGATATGTTTATATTCATTCAAGTTCTGACCAACGTCGTGGGATCCGAATCGCACCATAAACCGCTCTGGAACCGCATCTTTAATGGGATACAGATCTCAGTCTTCGCAGTCTTCTTTCCTCCTCCATAATCTTCGAAAACGCGGTCATGTGCAGCTAATTTCTTGCCTTGTGACCTTCCTCTCAGATCTTATTAGCCCACCCACAACCGAGGAAAGCCGTTCCGTTCTGGTCTCCACTCAACCATCGTGGCATCTCGTGGCATTCGACAGTCCGTCTCCACCATGTCCATGCGAAAATTCGTCGAGGCCAAGCCTTTTGGCATAAAAGCCAGCGGACCGTTGCAACGCACATTTCCTGTCCAGGTTCCTTCCCCTAGGCTCTCGTACCCAATATGGTCAACTTCACCATCCTCGCAGGTGGATACACCACCTTCATAGCTACCTACAGCTTCAACACGGACGACAACTCCCTCACCTACCTCAATCAATACACAACAGGTCCAAACCCGTCCTGGATTAGTGCTAGTGTTACGAATACCAGCATTCTCTAGTACGTTGTGTTTAGGTTACGCATCGTCGATACTGATGTTGTTGCTTGGTTTGAAGTGCGGTAAATGAGAATACTCCAGGAGCACTACAGTCTTTCACCGTAGGGCCTGAAGGTGCTTTGACGGGCCCTTACGACACTGCATACTCCGGAGGAGATGGCCCTCCCTACTGTGCACAGCTGACCACTGGCCAGGTCGGCATCATGAACGTACGTTAATAAAGCACGCCAGGTCCGGGTCTGGGAGTTTACTAACCTATTCATTACATGTAGTATGGCTCGGGGACAGGTCGTATTATCCCGACTCTGGAAGATCAACTGTACTTCTCTAATGACTCTACAACGATCACGTTCCCCTCGCCTCCAGCCCCGAATGTCTCGCTTCCCCATATGGCTTACCAGTATGGCTCAGAAGTATTTGTACCAGACAAGGTACGTCTTTCATTGTTCCGACCTACCACTTCTCGCTAACTGCATCATTCTCTTAGGGAAACGACAAGATCTGGAGGCTTACCCAGAACGGATCGGCAGGTGACTGGAAGATCCAGGGTCTGATAGAACAGCCACAGTACAGCGGACCGAGGCACATTCGAATCTATCGTATGTGATTCTCGTCTTCCCCATTCTGACTATTTTCATTTATCGAAATACAGAGGACATGCTCTACACCGTCCACGAGCTCGCCAGCACACTCACCCTCCAAGCCGTCCCTTCTCCTCCCAACGGTACAACCCCCATCCTCGCTGACCTCTCCATGATCCCACCCAACCCACCTGCCGGCTCCGTCTTTGCTGGCGCCGAGATCCTTATCCCCGAGCCCACCGAGAACTTCCCCACTCCGTACATATACACATCGAACCGTAACACAGGCGTGCAAGACTCGCGCGGGGACACGATTGCCATATTCGAGCATGTGGGAGACGGGTTGCAACTGGTGCAGCAGGTGTATACGGGGTTGGACCAGATTAGAGGGATGATGATGGGTCCGGCGGGGGCTGGGGAGGAGTATATCGTGGCGGCTGGGTATGCGGGGACGGCGGGTGTTAAGATGTTTAGGAGGACAGAGGGAGGGAGGAATTTGGAACAGGTTGCTGTGAACACGGAGCTCCCGACCAGGACTTCATTCGTCTGGTATGAGAGTTGAGTGATGACGACGACGGACAAAAGTGCATCTTTGCATCTACAGAGTTAAACAAAAATAAAAGTCAATTGTAACCTGAATGCTGAAACTGGGGGGACGCGGTGCTGGGATATATGGTTATGTAGAATGGTGTCTGATCCTGACAAGTGATCATGATTGTGTTGTCGTGAAATGTCTAGTCCTAGATGCTACACAGACAGACTACGGCGTGCTGCTATGGTAAGATGCAAAGAGGTCTACTTGTTCCCCTTTCGAAAGTCCCATCCTGCCTCGCCAATGTGAAGGAAATAGAGGTGCGTCGTCAGCGGTAAGTGGTCGCAAAGGTACTGCAAGTACAGTATCGACTATACTTGGCACATCTTCCGGCTGCACAAGCCCCAGCCTGAACAGAAGAAGGCAATGTAAGCCATATTACAATGACTACTGTAAATCAAAGATACGCACCATTCTCCGTGTGGATATATGAGAACATTGGCAGCATATCTAGGAGTAGAAAAATTGGGGGTTTTAAGGACTGTGACTGTACTATAACAAAGACGAGAAGACATACTTGTGACCTCCGACATGACCCACTTCCGCAACCTTTATATGCCTTCCTCCATCGATCCTTGACACTTGTTCACGCAGTGCACTGGCAACTGCACCTCCCGTATCGCCGCATCGACAATCGCGAGCCCCATGTGTGCACACGTAGATGTACACATCCTGGGATTCAGACGTCTCTGGCTGCACACCGTGACCATGAGCAGCTGAAGGCAATGGCTGCGCATGCTCTCTCAACCTGCTCTCCACCTCCTCGACGTTCGACGTCGATACACTAGGTATAACCAGCCGACCACGCGAGGAGAACGCGGTGAGGTAGTACTCCTGTTCGCTCGAAGGTGAGGCAGTCGTAGAGTCTATGCTGGACTCAGATGGCAGTGCAGGTATAGCAGGTTGATCGGGCGACCACGAGAACCCAACAGAGCCACCCCATTTTGTAGCTCTGACTTGAAGAGCACGTTGGACGGGAGTGCTGTATTTGGAGGGGTATTGGCTGGGTGGTTGTGGGGTGTGGATGAAGATATAGGAGAGGTGGGAAGGTGTGGTGCCAGGGAGTTCGGTGCGTGGGGGAGGAGGGCTGGATGTCGTTAGTCCACGGAGAAATGATGTCCTTTTGAAGGGCAAAATTCTGCTCATAATGGCATTCATTGTACACTCCGTAGAACTGGTGGGAGAGCTTGTGGCTGGAGATTATGTTTGAACGGGGAAGATGTCCAGGCTGTACCACGATGAATGTCGATGAGAAAGAGCGCCTGGGCTGATGTGGATGACTCTGAGCTGCCTGTCCTGAAGAGACGCGGTGTAGATGGGAGCTAAAGGGCTTTGGACATGGTGACCGTACCAAGTAGTAGTAGTAACACCGAGTCAGCGCTCACGCTCACTGGCACGGCCGATCTTACGCGTAGCCGATTTCGGCCATGTCAACGTTCTCCTTACTGTCATGTCGTCAAGTGGACAATCGCAGCCAAGGCCTTAATCAGATTCAAAACCGCACCCTCTACCTGGCTTCTCGTTGGTGTCTTGCGACCGCTACTACTCCTAGTATACAAAGACGACAGTTATACCAATATTCTGCGCACCTCTTTTTTGAATCCTCCCTTCCCCATTTATCATTTACGCGTCTGACCACTATGTCAACGCCCGGTTATCAAAGCATCGCGGAAGTGCTCAAAGCTGAGGGAAATGCGTGTCATCAGAAAGGCCTTTACTCTGAAGCCTACTCCAAGTATTCCGATGCTATCAAGAAAGATGGGAGCAATGCGATTCTATATGCAAATCGCGCAGCAAGCGCGTTGTCGATGAGCTGGTAGTGGCTATCTGATCCGCTAATGTATGTTATGAGATACAGTGACCGGCGTGTTTTACAGGTATTTGGATGCAGTCAGGGATGCACAAGAGGTGACCAAATCCTATTCACCTGATTCTGCGCTCGAGTCTAATACTATATGCGCGCATATAGGCAGTAAAGATTGACCCCATCTACGTCAAGGCATGGGCTCGACTGACTAAAGCGTACCAGGTGGGTTTCACAGGGGACGGTGACCTGTGTGTTATGCTACCCAATAGATCACGAGACACTGGAAGTTCCCAAGGCTGAAGAAGCACTTGCTCGTCTTCCATAGTTACATGCCATTCTTGTTGAGCGAAGACAAGCGAAGAAAGAAAGAAAGAATGGCGGAGCAGTGTAAGTGTAGTTTCTTTAAACGTAGATATGGTGTATTTCAGCTAATAATGTTATTGCTTTGTCTCAAGGTGTGGGCTATCATGAAGGCATCTAAGATGCTCATTAATGTATCTTACCTCTTTGCCTATTTCTCTGATTTTTATGCAGGATTTCCAGCAAGGAGTTCAAATTATGAGGGAAACCAAAACTACTACAGCTGGAGATGTCACTACCGGAATTCTTTGGGACTACCGAGTTTTTTTCACAGATTCTTGGGACTGGAACGAGAAGCTTCATGAACAAGGTAGGTGTCTCTTAAATTTTAACCTCCCGCCTCTCAAATTCTACCCTCATTAGTCGCGTTTGAACTACACGTCAACAATGGCTGGAGGTGGGATGCTGAATACCCCATACACATACGAGAGGAAGCATGTCAGCGGTTGAAGGAATCTGGTTGGGACTCGCTTCGGCCGGCCATTGAAACAACGATGCAGTCTGTGCTTCTTTCTTATACAACTCGCTATCAGTATTTTAAACTGGCACTACTTTCTGGCACTATCCGTGGGCAGAAGCACTATCGTATGTCGAGATGTTTTTGCTGCGATCTTTTGGTATGTATGTTGATGGGGTGCGTAGGTGCTTGGGATTTTACTACGTCTGCGCGTGATGGTCACAGACAAGGCTATCGCGAAGAAGTGCTTTTTAGACGGAGCGGAAGCCTATATGAAGTCGTGTCGTACTTTCCCAGACGATGACATCAAACAACCTAGTAAAATATATTTCCTCCTAAGTGGCTCTTTGATTGTTGGATCATCACCCCTTCAACGGCTCTGATGCAAGCGTTGGGAGCATACTGGCGGGGTGTTGCCACTGTGCACACAACGCTCCCCCTGTGCGAACGAATCAACTATCTCCTTGGCAAGAACGCATGGACAATCTGGGAGATGATGGCGGATACAGCTTCGTTCCAGGTACCGACTGAACAGGCAGTGGGGTTTGTGATAGCTGTCGACGCTGCGCTTAGAGTCGGGAAGGTGACAATGGATCATGCAGTGCTACCGAGGGTCCGTTTTTCGCATTATATACCACCAGTGTTGCATGACTGATCCTATTCTGCTCCCCTGATGACTTACAGTGGCCAAAGATGAATATACCATCGTTACGTGTGGAGGGAGACGCAAGGCCGGCTGATATGATTATTGACCGGTATTTCAACACCAAGGCAAGCAGATCATTTTTACTGTATCGTCGAATTTTCCGTTATGATGACCGATGATACTTTTTACACCTGTAGGGGGACGATGAAAAGTCCGCTACGGATAATCTTGACACAGAATCGGAGGACGATTCAGAGTGGGAGTAAAGCTGGATGGAGGGGTCCGAATGTGATGGACGTGGTCACGATGAGGGGGTCAATGGCGAAAGCGACGACTGATGTCGAGTTTTACAGAGACAGTCAGTTTATACATATATATGATGTTTGTGAGTTTGTCTTTCTACCACGTTGGTTTCCAGGAGGAGGGTGAAATGAGAGCTAAGTGGCTTTTTTAAGTATAATATACTTCCTAGGTTTAATTAGGAGTCATCAGAGCTTTTTCAGGTGTTATTGTATGGTTTGTTCGCTGATAGGGTGGGATGTCGCTGTACTCGACCCTCCGCAAGCAGTTGGGTGTGCAAGCATTGTGATGACTTTGGTACGATACTATCAGTGATAGAAAGCGTTTCTTCATCTGCTTGTCGAAGGTCAATTCGAGTTCATCCTTTGCGCCCCTCCAAAAAAATCGGCGCTCCTTGTCAAGGATTCGACCTATTAAGTGACGAGCTCGGATTGAGTCCATTATCGGGGTACGTGGAGCAACAAAAAGGACTGGGAAGTTGATAAAGCGTATAGTCAAGATGACTTGGAGCCCCTCTGATAAAAATGATTAGATGCTTGTCGGGAAAGTGTCAGCCTTTGACATCAGCCTCTGACATGTTGCTGAGAAGGGATAGCCCGAGCGAGGCGGCGAAGTGGGTGAGTGGTATTGGTCACCCGTAAATTACTTCAGCTACACTGACAAACCAGAGCATCCTAGACATGATTCTCACCCAAGCCGCGCAAAGTTACCCAAGGTGGTTGAATAATCATGAAGATCTTAGCCAGACCTCGACCTTGTGAATAACGGTGAATAATCCAGATTAGCTCGGTCAACGTCATGCTCTAAGCTGCTGAGAGCCCAAGCTTGACAAACCCGCAATGTACGATACAATAATGAGTCTGACGCGGCGGCAGAAATTTGCTCTTGCCGATGTGTCCGATTGCAGTCCCCGATGCCCCGATGTCCTTCAAACCGACTGTCCCAAGGATTGCACATACGGAATTTATTCAGCAGTCAACAGCACTATATCGCCCGACTAGTCATCATTATCCCGCAAGCTCTTGCAATTGAAGATGTAGATGGTCGAAGGAAGTGAGTGTGCGGTTTCGAAATCCAAGTCCGAGGGCAGTCTTACGAGTAGTTCTGTACGATACCAGCGGACTGCATCGCTCACGATAGTCCGAAGCCCGGGTGTGCTGAATCATAAGCCATGGGATCTCGGGGAAAGAGTGAGCTAGACTGGATAAGCAGTGGCACGGAGACAGATCATGATGATAAAACAATGGTGACGAAACCATATCCTGTTTGAAATCAAGGTTCTGTGGCAAGAGGTGAGCTAATGAGTTTAGGAAGTTGGTGAGGTGATTGATCTTACGTTTTCATCTTTGAATAGTGTTCAAGTTAAACTTTGAAGGGATTACATCACAATACTTATGCCGACGTCGGGGCAGCAAGGGGAAAATAGTAAGAACCTGATGAGAACCCAGAGCTGAACTGTGCTGACGAGGCCTACTGGGTGTATATTCACAAATTTCCTCACCTCTAGTCTGAGAAACTTGGTAAAGAAAGTACCGGCGGGCTTACATCGGGCCGGGATTTGCCGACAAACCTCTGTTTCGTTCGACTCACACCTGAAAGTTTCGAAACAATTGGAGCGGCCACTACATTGTTATGCGGAAGTCCTAATGGCATGACCACCTTTCACCTGCTTCGTGCCTCTCGAGTCTTCAAACACATGATATTTGGTAAAATATAGCAAACTCTTTGGCTTAGTTACAATATAGAATGCGCACGTTCTTGTTGGTGAGTAACATCTTGGATGGCATACTAGGCATAGGTATATTCATACTGCTGTTAACAGAGGCGCAGAACAATTTCATAGTCTCGATAGAAGCATCGTTTACTACAATCAGTTGAGCTCTAGCCAAACTACATTATTTCAATAAATCTAATATTGTTAAGTACATATCAATCTGTATGGCCGGTGTTTATTTTTCTCCATCGCCAATCAGCTTCATCACATTGAGTTAGGAATAGCTTCTGTATTCTCCCAAGTCTCGCGGCCTCATCCAGACACGTAGAAGTCCATCGAATCCACGCTCCTGTTCTCTTTCCTTTGAGAGGATCCCCATCGCTCTTCCTCCCCCTTAGCACGCTTACAGACCAGAGCCGTTCTCAACGAGGGAACGTTTCAAAGGTTTTGAACTTGATGAGAATACTTGGTTGGAAAAGAAGAGTTCCGACACATGATGAGTCCTTGACGTCTTGCCAGTTGGAATTACACTCGATGGTGATATTGCGGATGCTGATAACCAATGCAGTGACAGCAGGACGGCTTCTGATGTATAGTAAGTGTCGCTGAAACTTGGATATAGACTGTAGCTGAAACCTGTATGTAGATGTACTAATACGGATTAGCAGGTGTCGTTGTGAAGTAGCATCACTCTCTCCATGAGTTCTAACTATACTGCCGTGTTCTTTGCGTTTGACAACTTTCCGTCAAACACATGGGCTCCATATACTCTAGGTATAATGTTGCTCCATTTTCCGTATAGGACGCTGGAACATTTGTTATGCATGCGGCATTGTCGTTTTTAGCGCAGCTCATGGTAGTTGGTATCATGTGCATGCAATGATTGGCGCTCGGATCACGTTACTATGTCATACTACCACAATCCTCGGATTCTTATTCTGTGAGCTCTGTATCCTCCAGTTCTATTGCTATTATTCATGTGATCACTTATTACAGTCGTAAATTCTGCATTTATCTGTCGGGTAAAAAGGTCAGTATCAACTGCTTGATCCATAATGGTCTTTGGTGTGGTACTTCAAGACGGTCAACTTCGAACGCACTATATGTTCTTTGCTTCAATCCTTATATCGTCTTCAATTTATCGCAGGTTTTGTCTCCACAAGCATCAGCACTTTGCATCAATGAAGCTATACGGTACCTATTTTTTGGTGCTATCCTATGCAGTCAGAAAAATTAGCATGGTTTCGTCCTTTACTCTAACTTCAAACTTCAAACACAAGCATTTCATAGCCCAGTAGTACAGGTTTCGGGGGGTATCAATGGTCATATGCCGTCACTTCACCATACCCTAGCAATGTCCCAGTCAACGCCTTCATCTGATCCTTTTCTGACGCATAGGACACTGCTCCACTAACGTTTCTTCACTCCAAAATATGCTTAAAAGGCGGGTTGCTCCTTCAAAGTTCAGCATCCAAATATTCTCCTCTTACAACTCGAGTGATCACTCTATCAGTTATAATCCGCTTATATCGACATTAACAATGTACTCCTTCGTCAAACGTGTTATGCTCGTATCGTCTATCACGATGCTGGTAAACAGTGTTTCTGCTTTCTCTGGAGACGGTAAGTTGTTCTTTATAGCTTCAAGATGTGCAACTAATTAACATGTTTCGTCCCCTAGCTACATACTATTATACCGGTCTGGGTGCTTGCGGGGTTACCAACAAGGACACCGACTTTATCGTCGCTCTCTCCACCGCTCAATATGGCTCAGGCTCTCACTGTGGCGGCAAAGTCAGCGTCACCTGTGCGTATACAAACCTTTCTGCGTCCTGCCAGAATGATGACACCTTTTATAACATATAGATCAGGGTAAAACGATCAATGTTACCGTTGCGGACAAGTGCCTTGGATGTGGGGCAGATGATATCGACCTGTCTCCTAGCGCATTCTCCGCCCTTGCGTCAGAGACTCTTGGACGTATCCCCGTCACCTGGAACTACGCTTAATTAAGAGATACGAAGTGCTGTGCTTGTCTTAGTGCCCAACAATAACACAGTAACCTATAGTGTCCTAGTACTAGTTCATCGTAATGTTATATATTGTCCTGTGCAAAGTCTTTCCAGACAGTTACTACCAAGGTTTCCATTCACAGGCAGGCGCACTTCAAGTTACTATTGTTGCCCGTATTCGGCGTATTCGGCGCAAGCTTCATTTTGCAAAAGTGAATTGTGGCGCACTCGCTTCTTGCTAGTACTTCTGAGCCTGCTTCGAATCGAGTCATACTATGGCCGCGATAGCTGGTCGTATCGAAAACTGCGTGATCGGACTTCATACTGTATATCCGCTGTCCAGGTTTCATAAATAAAGGCGAGTAATTCACAAATTCTTCAAAAAAAGCAACTTCGGTAGAGAATCTACATATAAGCACTGGGCAGATCACAGTCAAGGATGCAAAATCCGAAGGTCACAGCAAACAAGAGCGAAATCATTCAACTTTGTGTGTGAAATCATATGTCTGACTATGATCCTCAACGCAATGTAATGTTCCTGGGGCCCCTGGCCATAAGCTTTCGTAAATTATATCTCAGGTCGTTGTTGCTTCAGCTCTTACTAGTGACCTACTATGATTTAATTCGGGATCCATTTGACGCCTTCAAGGAACTGGGAATAAACTCTGTCGTAATTACATGAACTTTGTGCTCGGTCTAAGCTGACGAATCTCACTTTGACAGCGATTACAAGAACTCGGCACAGTAATTCCTCAAGTCTTAGGGGTGCTCAATTCTCAGCCGGCTCACAAAGAACATTTTGTATATGTTTACAACTTAATACACAACCTACTGACTACCATGATGGTGATTCAGACAGTACCTCCATCCATCTTAGTGAAACGAAATTCTGAAGAGGCGCCCAACTGTGACTTTGTTGGACTCCGTACCCGTACCTCTGCATTCAGCCAAATGGTCTATCCTGAACAAGAGCTCAGCCCCCAAAGTATGTTGTAACTTCTGATTTTATCTTCAGAACCGTTTAGCTGTCCTCGCATAAAGCGGGACTTAGTTCCGTTTTTTTATACTACTTTCTTTGTGCGTTTCAGAGCTATCATATAGACACAGCACTATGAAAGCGGGCTATCATCAAGTGCAACTCACCTCCATAAGGGCTTCACATTGGCATCCTTTCATTCGTCTTTTAGTATACTCGCGATCAAGAATTCCTCGCATCCCCGTCCTCTCCGCATGATGATAAACTTATAACGCCTACCCAAACTTCGAAGTCACGACGCCCATCCCTTTTATTTTGTTTGAGGTTTGTTACTACTCTTAGTGCAATGACTCAGGGATCTTCGTTTAAATGTCTGATACTTGTATTGTCTATGATGAGCACCGGTCTAGCTTATACTGGTGAAGGTATGCCAATTACTACTGGTTCGGCATTTCTGGGTTGACAAGTTATTTGTTTCCCTAGCTACCTTTTATGAGCCCGGTGGCTCTTGCGGGACTGCACAGCCAACTAATTACGATTTTCTCGTTGCTCTCTCTCCCAGTCAATTCAGCGGAGAAGAGTGCGGGAAACTCATTACAGTTACCTGTATGGACATCTTTCCTCCGTTGGACCTCTCCAACCTGACTGGCTGAATGGTTACAATTTTTTGAATACAGATGAAGGCAAATCAGTCAATGTGACAGTAATAGACGAGTGTGCTGGGTGTGGGGGGTATGATATCGATTTGACTCCTGATGCTTTCGAAGCACTTGCTCCATTGTCTGGACGCCTTTTGGTTAACTGGAACTATGTTTAGCTTGGAAATTGTAGCTTTCTATTTGGTGAATCAGACGATGTAAGTGCTTGCAGATTAATGACGGATTTTGGAGAGGGGTACTGAGAATTATGTGAGACATGCAAGATATGCTCAAGCAGAAACTGGGGTGATCCGAATTCAGGGCGCGTGCTTTATGAAAAGCCGTGCGCTGTGGGTGTCTATTTGTCATGGAGAAATCTATTGAATGTACTGGGACAATTTATCGACTGCACAGCATCAACTTAGACGTCAATATTTAGTGGGTACCGACGTTGAAACCTCTTCAGATTGACGGATTGGGGGCAGCTTGCAGCAGGTAACACATCATGATTCCAGAGCGTTCCAAGGCTAACACGCACAACGATGAGTAAGGGAGTTGATGTCTATCATGCTCAACCTATTTAGTCCAGTGAACGCCACCATTTTGTAGAAGTACTCACGTTCACTTGAGCAGCTACGCCAATCGCTATTACGCCTGCCACATTACCAGAAAAGTACAAACTCATCATAACGAGCGTGCAGCCCGTCATCAAAGCTCCCGACTCTATCACAATCAAAGCAATACCAATGTAGTCCGGTCCAACTACAGCCAATGACCTTTTGCCTGTTCGAAAGAGTCTGTGTGCAATGCCGCCCGTCAGACCCAAATTGATCATAAAACCCAATAACCAGCCAAATATCATGAACACTTTGAATCCGTGTGGTGGTATGATTGAATCCTGTTGTGCCGTGGGTTGTGAAAGGTAGAATGCAGCCGTATATGCACAGGCTGAGTAAGATCAGGATAATAGCTGGATTTTTTTGTGATGAACAAGCTTACAATCATTGGCAATCAAGGCAATTAGCTGAGATTGGTCTGTGAGAGAGAATCAAATGACAACCAAAAACAATCTCACTGGCAATACGCATATCTTCCAACGATAATCAAATATAACGTACAACCTCCATATCTACAGGGACGTGAGTGAGTGAGGTGGATTTCTTATATACGACTCACCATTAATAAGTGCTGCACCATAGCCTAGGAGTTAAATAAAAGTAAGACTGATATCTAGATACGTATGAGAAAAACCACCTCACGTTTGCAACATAAAGGATGAAATTGGCGACAAACAAAGGATTAGACATAAGATAGGTGTCTGCACCATGAGGCTTGGACGCAATGGCTGGATCTATGAATGCGTGCAATAGCTGTAGGAAAGACAAGAGCGCATGTACGGTGGCCGTGATAAATAGAGTGACGCTTGTTAAGATAAGTATGCTGTTCGAGAATCTGGAGACTCAAACATGTTACTAGTCCCTATGATTTGAGAGCTTCGAGCACCACTTGCCTGAGAGATTGACTCCTACGCCGTTTCAATAATATGAAGATACAACAGGCGAAAAGCACACAGCTAGATTGCAATAGTTAGGCAAAAGATCGTAAACGAACCAGTACAAGTGTTATTACTTAGCGCCTGAGTAACAAATCATACGTTTAATTCGCAAACTGAATACTCTGTAAGAGATTGGACTTACCATATAACAGAGACTCGATCCATGTAGAGGTCAAGGTCATCTGAGCTATAGGAGGTATAGCCATGGCGACGGTCAAGTATCGGTGTTATGCAGCCAGAAAACTTTGACATAGATTGAGGAAATCAGATAACGTCTCTGCTTTATACGCCATGGGCTGTACTGCAAGTGAACACAATTTTTTTACTGGACGACGTTTGACATACCATTTTACCGGGATGTTCCTCTGACAGCTGAGCAGGTGTCACAAAGCATGGGGTAGAAAAGTGTAGGGAGATATAATTTCTTTTGAGAAACTGAATCAGTGATGGCACCGTTATGTATTTCTACAAGCCCTGTAAACTGATTTATAGGCCTTTGAAACCAATATGAAGGAAGAAATCTCTACCAATATCGCATTTGCCTGGTGGAACTGATGCCGACTCGGAAGATGCTGTATGATATTGCACCTAATCTATGCTGTAATTGGGGAGCTGAGCATCAGAACATTCGGAGGTATCCGACATATGTGGTTAGATGATAACGATGCTACAGCATATAGGACGGTTCGGATAACCGAAGACTGGCACTTACTGCGGAGACCTGACGGTACCAGGAACACAACTCTACAATTTGAAAAGCTAAGATAAAGTATGCTTCAGGGCCACTGAACATAGTTATGGGCAAAAGCACAGGAAATACGTGATTTTCTAATCTTGTTCGGCATCACTGACGCCACGGTGACAGCAGAGATTGACCCAGATCTATGATATTATTCCTGCCGTTGGTGTCTATTAATGCCTTTTGAGTCAAGTGAGGGTCAAATAACTATGCAGCCTAAATACAAGACATCAATCTTGAGTTGCGACAACACCAAAAAGGACGGTATCTGAAGTAGAGCTGGTATGTGTACAAACTGCGTATGAGACAAAAGAATGAGAATAGGTCTTGCATTTAGCTAGCGACCCCCGCAAGCGCTCGCTGCGGAAATTATGGTCATGAACCTGCCACATTGGCTTTTTTGTGCCGGACAATCTACTGGATATGCAGTGAGAGGATCCGTCGGCTGCATGACATCGATATGGACGTCGATTGCCACTGTAGACTGGGTATGGTCTGAGGCGGTAGGCATGTCAGAATTTCTATAATGAACCATCCCGACACGCACGACAATAAGCAAAGGCGTAGCGGTCTGAAGTCAAATCAGCTCAAGGTGAGACTGTGTGTGTTTCCGACACTCACATTTACTTGCACGGCTACATTGATTGCAATAGGGCCTGCCACACTGCCCGCTATGTATAAGCACAGCATAATGAACGTACAACTCGTCATTAGTGCACCGGATTCGACCACGAGCCGGATAGCACTCTTGTAGTCTGAACGGCCAACATAATTTTTTCCTTTACCTACTCGCCATAGGTAATAGGCGATACTACAGGTCAAACCAGCATTTAGGGAGAAGCCGAGTGCCCAGCCCGATAATGTGAATATTTTGACAAGACGCGATAGATAGGAGTCATCAAGTCCGGCTGCTGGAGCACGTGAGAGATGGTATATGCCCACAGATGCGCACACTGGGACGAACGAAGAAAAAATACTCGAACAGCAGATAATACACTTGAGGAATTACAAGACTCACCAACATTGGCAATCAAAAGAAACAACTGGTACCCATGGATAAAATGCGTTGGAATGGAAAGAGAAGAACAAATAATCCTTACCGGTAGGATGCAAACTCTCCATCTGTGATTCAAGACAACATGCAGTTTCCATATCTTTAAAAGACAATGCAAAATTAAGCACGGCTTATGAGCCATTAGATACGGATGGCATATGTGCTTGATACTCACCAAAAGGAGATCTTGCGCAAAAACCTGTCTAACAATTTCAGATGATATTAAACAGTTGACGCCATAGAACACACATACGTTAATGACATACAATATATCATTAGTGACGAGCAACGAATTAGAAGCAAGGTAGACATCTGTGCCACGAGGCTTGGAAATGATCGCGGAATCCGTGAATGCCTTCAGTAATTGCAGGAAAGATAGTGTCATATGTACGGTGGCTGTCGTGAATAGGAATGTGCTTGCAAAAAGAAGGAGTCTACTTGAGTATCTGCAAGACAACAGGTTGGTACGGTTGATATAGTGAGAAGTCGAGTAATGAAACGCTGATAAAAATCGACTCACTTCAATCTTTCTTCTGCTTGTCGCCCTAATAAAACAAAGACACATATAGAGAAAAGCACAGAGCTAGACCCGGCGGTCAGAGAATGAAACAGAAACTAGTATTGGATTTCTGTACTTCACACCTGGAAGGTCTTTAGATCACAGAATCATTGTGTCAAAATGAATAGTTTACCATATGCGAGGACCTCCAACCACATAGATGTCAACGTCATTTGAGTCACTGAAGACATACTTCTGGCAGTATGTATGCGAAACTGAGAGATGGTAGAAAAAAGGAGGCCGTTGGGACAGAACATGCCAAGTGCACTTTATAAGTGGGTTCGTGCTTTCTGTAACATCAGTATCATTCCGCATCCACAGCGATCTCCCAACTTTGATGATGAGGATGTCCAACAAAGAACAAAGATAGAATCACAGCACAGCAGACACAGGTTCATGCCATCTATAATTTCTTGGATAATGCAGTATTAGTGGGAAAATTCAAATGTCCATCCGAGGGAATCTAGCTCACTAATGCAAATTGATAGTACTCAACTAGGTGGTCTGGTAAGCTGACCTTGTATATGAAAAATGTACTAGACCATCATCGGCACATCTACCCGCCACAGGGTTTTCTCCTGTTGCACCAATAACGAGGGTCTCAGCGCTGATGGCAGCAAAACCATCAATATGTGCGCCGATGATGATTATACACAAGGACCAATAACAATGCGCCATATTGGTCATTTTCGTAACTTGAGGCTTAGATGCGTGTACATCGGAAAGAACCTGAAGTTCTGCTATACAGCGTGTATGTGCCGTACTTGAATGGGAAAGATTGCACTACAAGGGTGGTAGATCTAGAAATAAACAGGAGAGTAAGAAGATATTAGACCTCAGTCTGTACACACAAAATAATGAAATGTTACAAGTCAAGATAGTATAGGCACTTGAGTACGTGTGCCTTGACTTGTGTTCTCGCCTTGATTTATTTTAATGTGGTCAAAGTCATTGCTTGTCGATTTGGAGGCAGAATAAGGAGTGGGGCAAGCCGATCGATGCGGACTCACAACTGGACAGTACTACGTAGTAGTAGTACTCTTGAGGCCATTGTTGCATACACGCACTTGCAGTGCCTCTGTCCTACTCAGCGCTCAGCAGCGATTACTGTTCTTTTTTAAGCCTTGTCATGACAGCAGGACACCTCCAAAGTGCCCGATCAGATCCTTATTTTCTGACAGACCGATTCATGATGGTGCATTTCATCTTCAGAACATCCCATTATAATCTGACTAAAACTCGCGAGACTGACTGTTGGCTCTCGTGTTTTAAGTGTAAGAGTCTTGGTTTTCGTTTTATTGGAAAAATACAAAGAGGAGGACTGCTATGGATTACGCAAAGTAATTAAGGTCTTATGTTGGACAGAATACCGAATGACATGAATACTCACAGGTTATATTGGCATTATAATTGTAATGAGTGAGTTTGGGCTACACCTTTCGTGATATTGACACAGAAGAAGAAAAAGGAATACGGCCGCTCGAGCTTTGACCGTCAGTCGCTAAACAACAAAATTACAACAGCATTCTATTGACGCAGTTGTTAATGGAGCATTGTACATTGGCCATATTCATGCGCTGTTAGTGCCTTGCTATGCACAGCCTACATTGAAGGTATGTTTGTATAGATACTGACTGTCCTGGAGTCGATCTGACAACATTGAGACGTCTCGTCATGGGCAAGTTCTGTACGTAAACCCATCCGGTCAATTAAATAGTGAGATTTAATAACAGAAGCAACACTCTGCATTCGGCGATACAAATCACACTGCGGTGAAAATCATTATGGCTGGATATATTTGGATGCGTCTGCTGGATCTGCGAGAGAATCCACTGAACGAGGTCGAGCGGCATCAACACGAAAGTCGATAGGGCGAGTAAGAATGAAAGTGCTATGCGATGCTGAATCGTTGACGTGGGTCCCCACTCGAGCAACGATAAGCAAAGGGTTCGCAGTCTAGAACCAACAGGAATTTCAGCCATACGATTAGAGCACAATATGAATAAAGAGACGTAGTGTATCGTAAGGTGTACTCACATTCAATTGTATGGCTACATTTTCAGATATTGGGCCTGCCACACTTCCTGCAATGTACAAGCACGTCATAACGAGTGCACAGCTCGTCACCAAGGCACCTGACTCGACTACAAATCGGACGGCACTTCTGTAGTCTGAGCGATTCATGCCGTAAGCATCTCTACTTACTCGCCAGATGTAACGTGCAATGGTGCATGTCAGCATGGCATTGAGAAAGAAGCCAGTTATCCAGTATGATAATATAAACGCCTTGAGGGGGTGCATTGACCCTGGACTCTGGGAGAAATGATAGATACCCATGTACCCAGATACTGGGATAAATGAATCATTAGAAATTACCCATGACGCCTGTATGAGAAGAGCAGGACTTACTAGCGTTTCCGATTAAGATAACAACCTAGCCTTAATTAATGATAGATATAGTATGGAAACGAAGAAGATGCTTACTGGTAAGACGCACGCTATTCTACTGCGATTGAGAATAACATATAATCTCCATATCTACGAGAAACACAAATCATGTGAAACTCATCCAACATGGTGTGCATGATATTGAATACTCACCAGCAACAGCTCCTGAGTGATAGCCTGACGAATAAAGATGAATGAAGGGAAACAAGTTATATTTTGGGTGGTGCGTACATTGGCAACGTATAAGGCAAGATTGATAACAAGCAATGTATTAGAGACAAGGTAGACATCGGTGCCAAGGGGCTTGGATAAAATGGCTGAATCCGTGAAACCCTTCAGTAACTGCAGGAAAGACAATATCATATGCACAGTGGCTGTTATAACCAGAAACGTGCTCGCGACAAGGAGAAATCTACTCGAATATCTGGGGAGGATATAAATAAATAGATATAGCCCAGAGCCACTTGCGACTCACTTGAGACCATCACGGGCTTGTCGTCGTAATAGCACAGAGGTACTTCGAGAGAACAGTGCGCAACTATACAGAATATGTGACCGAAAGAAAAACGGACGAGTTATTGATTTTAACTCACTTTATACCTAGAAAGGCAGATTTCAGAGTTGGAAAATGGAAGTGCCTGTGTAGCTCACCGTACGCAATAGATTCTAGCCATATGGACGTTAAGGTCATTTGAGTCGTCGAGGGCATGGTCACGTTTGCAATATCAGAATCGATAGATCGTAAAGAGCTATTGAAGACAGGGGAAAGAAGCCGAATGGAATCTATGCAGATATGTTCTGGGATGATAAGTACTTGAATAGGCGCCACCGCATCAAGACGGCGATCAATGACCCTAGAAAAAACTCTCTGGAGAGTTCCGCGAAACGAAGATAGGAAGAACATAACAGAATTGATCATTACTGGCTTCTGAACGACTATGGGAAAGACCAGATGGCCGTGCGACGAGGTCTTGATATATAGTAGTAACACAGCATACTTACGAACTGAAAAGTAATGCGCTTGGTGTTTACAGTGGCAACTACGATCAAAAAAACGAAGGTCGTTAAGTGTGTATGAGAACAAACAACCCTGTGTGGCAAGATGATGGTTTCCTTAGACCTTGCCTACTGGTCACCACATCACTATAGAATCCGAATGTATGTATACGAGCTGACAGAACAACGACTAAGTAACTCACAAGCATGTACCACCGAGAAACTTCCATTTGGTACTAATAAAGAGCAGTATTGCTACATCATGATCCCAAGATATGTCGATTTTACAAACACCGCGGCTCTGGGTATACATAACTTACCACAATGATGATACATGATATCGATGATGGATCATATGTTCAATGCCCAGAGAACACTCGATTCTGAGTAAGGGAGCTACGAGCGTGTGAACTGGAACTGCCAAGTAGAGTGTCAATGACTCGGATACACTATAACTAAACTTGAACCGGCGACTACTTCAAGTTATCACCACACGAAAGGTCTGAAAGGTCTGACACGGTGTTTACTGCTGCGTCATGATACTGGAGTGGAAACTCTAAAGTTCGGTTTGGAATAAATCTTTGTTCATTCCTCATTTCACTGTCATCTTACAAGTTTTTTCTTCTAGCTCCACGTATGGTGTGCTGTTCTATCATCAAATACATATGTCCTTTCGTGGTGCATTGTCCGACAAGTTCGCCATGATCTCCAACTACGTTATGATCATACACACTGCTTCATGATACCAGGGTATACTATATTATAGGAGTTCGTACTCCTCGGAACTAGCCTGACTGTCGTCTCGAAATGTAGTGCAAGCCGTACTCGAAGAGAGTGGTGCCACACCATTGATGCTCCGTTATGTGGGTGGAAATATTATCTGCCATTGGTATCAAACCCCAACTACGCTCACCCTACTACTTATTTCTAAGTTTACAGAGATCCACACATTTCAAGCACTCAAAGACTAGGAGATCAAGTTGCACTCGCGGAATTTGCCACACGTCCAAGGCAAGTTCCAGAAAACGACGTGTTTTACACAGCATGCTGTAGTTTTCATGTCGTACGGTACATCACTCTTTTGAACCTGTCAGCCACACATGAAGCCATGTATCGAGAGGAATCGACTCCAGAATACTCTGAATGAGCCGCTCGCTCATGTTTGCTATCGCTCTCGACAATCCATAGTGTCTTCCTGACTTGAATTGCTTTGTTTGCAGTCAGTCTTTAGTGGTGCATCATATCGGAGGAAGCCTAGCGCCTGATGGTCCTTTCTGTCTCACGAACCTGTATATCTACCCATCCTCGTGATGCAGCGACGTTCACGGAGCACCCAAATACAAATACTATCAGTTTTGGTATAGTCATTTACTGAGTGCAGCTTGGGGAATGTTTCAAGTTTTCCTTCTGATCACCCGCCTTGAGATCACGATGCCTGGAGGGCTATGCTATAAGCAGCACAACATCGAGATTAGACTCATCATCGTTTCTCGATGTCTTTTCTCCTCCCCAGCCGCCCCCAACACTATGCGATCCCTTTCCAACTACTAGGATGTTTTCGACTGCTGAAAACATCCCTCCTTTCGGCCAGATGAATATGACATGCATGTGGCTGGAAACCATATTGTACGGTATGTACTTTGGACTTGCTGAACAATCGCGAATCAACCGAATTTTCCACTACTCACACACCAAAAACTCTAGCTATCAATTAGATCTATTCACCGTCCAAGGTAGCTTCGACTGCCAGCAGCACTCTTCCGATATGAAACAGCCCTGCCTTATATGGCGGATGCATGCACGTCTTGACGAGGGAACATGATGCTCGTAAGTATAATATTCCAGACGGACTTATATTAAGAGTAAAATCTTGGTCTCTAGGATTACAATAGCCGCTTCAAGTTCGACATTGTCAAACCCCATAGCCACTGCACATATGATCGTATCATTTTTGCAGTTACTTCAAGCACACATTCATCCATCCTGATTATTCCCAGTGGATATTTACTTGGACATGAGCCCTCTACAGTTTTGCCAATGGACGCTTTCACGACACCAACGTGCGTATGCTTTCCTTACGAATGATAAACCGACTAATGATTTTTTCTAGCGGGATTACAGCTTGTTATCAACGGTCACATAGTCGCTTTGACTAACTCTACTCAAGCGTTGGTCAAATATGGAGACTTTACATGATTTGGTATTTTAATTGGAAGCTTTGCATTTTCCCAGTATGTAGGCTGATATGCATGACTTAATGTAGCTAACATTGTGTCCTACATTTTTCCGCCTCTCTGCACTATGCAACACCATCTTCTGGCACGAACTTCGTAGGAAATGTGGAAACCTATTTCCACATAATTCGCCGTGGGCATCTTTCATCGGCATGCACCCTTTTCTGTTTTTCTGATTCTGACCTGGCTCTTCTATTATGATACAGTCAACCATTCCTTTCCTCGTTACTGCACGAATTGGATATGGTCTTCAACATGAAAATGACACTCGTACATCCACGTTCACCGGACCTACCGTGCTAATGTCAAGGTTCTATGTCCCTCTAAAGTTCGACAGCATTAGTGTTGAGTTCTCTTCCATTGTTACTAGACCTTCAAGCTTCAAGCATCGCAGCCTACGATGCGGATACGGGTAAATCGTAACAGCCCCAACTGACCATAGTACTGAAGGCTGAATAACGACAATACTGCTCAGACAGTATTAACACATGCTGAATATGTATGATTAACAAAAGTCTAATTTGATACATTTGCGCTCCTAAAGGACATGACAACATTACAAAACAATCTGCCTACGAATACAATAGCATTCATGAACTGGCAAGAAAAATTACAACATTATCAAGGAGATCAGACACAAAGATATTTTGACAGGACTGGCCACTCACAGACAGTACAACAAAAGCAATCTTGCATATTCCACCCTACATTAATACGTGTTGCACGCTCAAGCTTGTGGCTGACTTCTCTCGACGTCGTCATTCTTCTCTGATTCACTAGCAGTACTAGCAGCATTGCCATAATCCGTAGTGCGTGCGTGCCCAGAAGCAACTAACAAAACACCGGCTGCGACGAGGGAGAAAAGGAAAGCAAACCAGGGTAGAACCGCAAGAAGGCGTACTAGGAAGAACTTCAGTAATGTATGTACAGCGCAAGTAAAGACTACTCACAGTAATATATGTGCTTGTAAACGGCCGACACACCGAGTTCATTCTCGAGCAATTGTATAAGCGATTGAGGGACTTGTGTTCCTCCAAGGGTGGCAGTTACTTGTGCAGAGTGGTTTGCGAAATAGACGTCAAAGGGAATAAGAGTCGCGAAAAGCCACACTGCGCAGAAGATGAGAGAGAAAGCTTGTAAACGGAGGCCGAGTGGGCGATTGGTGATTGAGCAAAAAGTGAAGAGGAGGTACACAAAAGTGAGAACTGCTATGAGGGCACAGACTGTCGTGATAACGACTCCAGTGTGGAATACATCTATGAGACAGCGGGCAGGTGTGTGAATTTGGGGATGAAACATAGTGAACCAGCACAAACCATTGGTGTTAAGGTATACATTTACATCTCCAAGTTGAGCTCGCAGAGTGCTTATGGTCTTTTGAATGTACGAATTTTCCTGGTTTGACCTAAAGAAACGTCAACGTCAACGATTGTTGCCATTGATAGGCGTGCCATGGTATCATCGAAAGCTAAAATGGGTTAAGTGCTAAAGAAGAGTACGCACTTGATTAGGGCATTCAAGCCAACAGAGCCACCGATAACCCCAAACGCGAACGCAACGAAAAGAGATGCCAGGCGAGCCGTCCTGAGTGCAGCGGGCATGTTTACAGTGCTATTGTGTCTCTGATTTGATGGGCCTCGGACGGAAAACATTTGTAAGTTCACCCCAATTTATAGTCTGATTATATGCCGGCCTCGTTGAATGTCTTCCAAGATCCGAATGACAGGCAAGGCTAGACTGCATCGATTGGGCCAAACATGGTATAGACGCATAAATTCACCGACAGAAACAGGTTCATTAGTTCCGAGACTGGCTTTCAGTGCCACATACATAAACCCAATTGGAAACCACATGCCAAAGGAGATAGTACCAATCCTCAGTTTCGTAAAATACACTACTTATACTAAAGCAAAAACACTCTACGAGAGTAGCCGGATGATAGATACAACAGCAGAAAGCAGAATTATACATCACTGGGGTTATTCTGAAGGTCCTTGGATGTGACCAGCCAATACCATATGTCCTTCCATGTCCTATTCACGAGCGAAGCGCCATGATTATCATATTGTATATTCCTGGATCAACAGACGGCTTACCTTTATACAGTCAAAACTTTCTGGACATTGCTCCACACCCCCGTCAATGCGCCACATGCAAGTGTACATGTCCTCGTCTTCGTCTTCCCGAAGGCTGGCATCGGCCATTGTCGTGAAGTCCTCCTCGAGGGACCTCGCCAAGCCTTTCTTAATAGCATTGCCCATATTTTCCAATTGGATTTGAAGCACGGCTTTTTCTTTCCGGAGCCTCATCACTTTCTTGTCAAGCTTATGGCGCGCCAATCTTCCCTGCCGGTGCGCTCCGCTCAACCTTCGGTACGCCCCTTCAAATGCCTCTAGATGCCCTTGAAGCCGTTCGCATTGTTCTCGCAGTTCAGGTTCTTCTCCCGCGCGCCTCCTTATTTCGTCATTCGTTCGTTGATCCTTCTCTTGCAGTAGCTCAGCAATACCCTTCCATCGACTTACGTCACCTTTGAGCGTCTTTATTTGAGTCTACATCGTACGATAATGAAGAGAGTTAGAGCATCCCAAAATACTGTTTGCTAAGGAATAAACACACCTCGAATAGACCTTTATACATCGCTATACCATCCCGTGCCTGGCCTTCTGCAATCGTAGCTCTCCTCTCGAGTTCCGCATTTTCAGCACGTACAGAGCTCACATAGCCTGAAGCCTGCGAGTACTGCTCACGGAAGAAATCACGGTCTTTCTCTGCTGACGCTCTTGCATCATTTAGGGAATCAGCTGACGACGTGAGCGTAGCAACCGACGTAGTCAGCTCAGTATGTTCCGACTTCAGTTTCTCGCGCTCAACGTCCCATGCAGCACGTATCGCATCCCAACCCGCACGCTCCATTTCCCACGTACTGCGTTCTTTCGCCCATGTACTCTTCTCGAGGTCCCACTGTGCGCGCGCAAATGTCAGGTCCATGGATTCTGATAAGGATTGTTCCTGGTGTTCGTCTGTTTGCATTATGGAGTCCTCCATTGTCGTGTTCTTCGACTTCAATGTACCAACCTCGCCCTGCAATTTCGTAAATTTCGATCGTTCTTGCGCTAACGCACGCTCTAACCGCTCGATCTCTTCTGATTTGACGTTGAGTAAATTCAGCGCTTCGGCTAAGTTACGGGTTGGAGGCTCAGTCTACATAACACGTGGCAAATCCCGGGGAAAAATGAGCACATCACTGTTTTAAGCACTGCATAGCCACTGACCTGTGATCGAGTAAATGGCAAATCACCAACAGCGGGAGAGCCAAAAGCAGCAAAAAAGGATTTCTCTGGCCCACTACTGAGTTCTGGACGTTCGCCCTGAGTTGGTTGCACCATTAGGCTCACTTGTTGCGAGTCATGTTTTATCATGGAAGTTCTATCATCCGCAGTTGTGCGTTGCCTTGGTGCAGTATCGTGGACTCTTGTAGGCTGATCCAAAATCAGAGTTCGGCCGAGGGGAAATACGAATAAAGGAACTGGTACAAACCTGAAGGGATTCTTCGGTTGCTTGAATCCCGGTGTCGGCAGCTACATTTTGGTGGTCCATTTGGTCCTGTACATTGTTATTTCCACTAGCACTCTCTTGTGTGAGATATTGTTGTATTTCCATGCCAAGGTCGTGAAGTTCTTCATCGTCTGAAATATCACGCTCGTTAGCTTTTGGGTCTGAAGGGAGAGGCTGTGCTTCGGGTTTGGGATCTCGCGTGGTTTCTTTCTCTCCTACTGTAATGGGTTGATTGTCAGCTGCACCCAAGAGGGAACGTTGCATCTCGAGCTGAAGATCCCGCGAATTTTCTTCTTCTTCTTCTGCTACAGCGCCACGCTCATTTGCTTCCGTTCCCAACAAGGGGCCTTGCATTTCAAGTTGCAGATCTCGCGTGTTTTCCCCCTCTTCTTCTGGAAAAACGTTGCGTCCGTTAACGTGAAGCGGTATTCCTAAGACGTCTTGTGTGCTTTCTTCCTCTTCTTCTCTTAATAGCACCCGGAGATTTTCTAAATTTGGTGGGTTTCTACTGTCGTCGGTATCCTCTGTGCGTGATGTCACCGTCGTGCTGTTCATACCCACATGCGAAACTTTCGCTTCGGGTGCATTGCCTCCATCCATAGCCCGTCCCTTGGCCTTAGCTTTGCCTTTCGGATCAGCGCCAGCACGAACGACCTCAAATAGGTCCTTCTTCTGCGTTTGATGTCGCTCCCGTAAGCTCTCTTTTTGGCGTTTCTCGTGCTGGTGATAAAGCTCTTGCCCTCGTATCCGTAAGCCGAAGTCGGATATCCCAGCAGCACGGTTGGATCTCGTCTCGTTACTCTCACTCGTAGGACTTTCGATGATATTGCGAATGCGCCTCTTCCCCAGTGTTCTTTTAGGAGAATCGAAGCTTTCAATGGAACTCATTAGTGGCTCGTGCTCAATCTCATCCGAACGCGGCTTTGGAGGTGGAAGGTGAGCGCGGAACGTCGAGGGAGATATCTGTGGGATACGATGAAGAGGCTTCATATCACAGCAGTCAACGATGTAGATCATTTTAGACAACGGAGTTATAGTACTCACTTTTTTTGAGGCTGCAAGCGTGGCATCAAGAGAAGTAACAGTAGCAATAACTGGAAGGGGTATAGAAGTACTCGTAGGGACTGTTTCCTTTCCATTAAGCGGGCGAGAGTTTGAATCGGAGGGACGAGCAAGGTGAGGAGAAGTTTGACGTATGATGGGTGCTGTTTTGTGGCCTTTTGCAGCAAGCGGTGGAACTGGCTCCTTTGCAGGAGAAACGATAGCGGGCTGTGCCTGACTGTGGTCAGTCGACGACTGCGTCTCAGTCTCTGGTACAATCCCAGATCGAGGGGAATCGTATGCGCCCTCAAAGTTGGACTGAGGGACCACTT